GAAGGGTTCTATATTGCACAATAAAGGGTTCTGTTACAAGCTTGGCAACGATAGCAGAACCCTTTTGGTGCTATTAATCTGAAGAACCATTTCACCATGCAATGACCCAAAGCATGAAATGGTTCTATTTAGAACTCGGTTCTAAACAGTACCGTTGCCTTTACTAAAGAACCCTTTATTAAGAGTGTACATCTAACCTAACCCTAACTTTAAAGGGGAATTCCACCGATTTTCCAAAATTTCTGCATAATTAAATGGTATAAGTAGTATAGAGTAATTTGGTGTGAAATGCTCCGTTATAGAGAGACTTACTGAGTAGTATTGTTCTCAGTAGTGGTGATAGAAGTGTTTCATGCTTCTAAAAGCTATCTTACAGATAAAGATACTACATGAAATGGGTAAGAATACGCTGTCTGATGCCTTGACATCATTTTACGAGAGTTTCATGGTGGTCCAAGAAAACGTGTATTTCCTTTTTATTTAACCATAATTAACATTACATATTGAAAAATAATAAACAATAAAAAACCACGTGTAGGTTCAGTAGTCATCACAGCAAATAAAATGGCTATATTCGAGTTGTATTGTGAGCCCTGGTTCCCATCACCACCACCGTAAAGAAATGCAGAGTCTGTAAGTTTCTCTACTGGGTGTCATTTCAACCCTCAATGACTAAATTGTGCATATATTTTAAACATAAGTAGAATTTGACTCAATCAGTAGTAAAAAGCTCTTTCCATACAATGTAAAACTGCTCTTGTTTTCCACAATCGTGAGGACGTCTGAACCCCACAAAACACAGAAGTGCGCGTGCGCGTTTCTAATGACGCTGGAAAAAAAACAAAAAACTTGAGAACAGCGACACCCTCCGTTCAGCTGAACTGCCGTGAAAGGGAGATAGAGGGTAGATAGCAGATTTTTTATTTATTTTTATTCAGTACCTAGTAATACCAAAGCTGACATGATATCTGATAACAATACTGGTATATTAAAGTCTTCTTGTGCACGAAAAGGGGGATTTCTTTGTGATTTTGGAGACTTCTATACCGTTCATTTTAAATAAATTGCAACATAAACTGTTCAGAGGAATTAAACAATTCCATTTGACTTGCTGATATTGAGTTTACTTTTTTAAAAAAAGTTTATATTTTCCCCAGACTGAAATTTCTGTCTCTTAGCATTGAGCATAATAATAAAAATATCAAAACATAGGAATAACAATAAAAAAAGCAGACCTATCACCAAACCTTTACAGGGATCAAATGTTAGGCTACATGTTTGATAAATACACACTGAAAGGCAAGCTTAAGATTTATGAAGGAGAAAAAAAAAATGCTCGAGTCATAAATGCTTATTCGTTCCCTTTATTCATTCAGTCTCAGTTTTAACATCCTACTGACAGAGGTTAAGGGGTTAATACCTGTGTATCGACACCCAAACCATTTAGAACAGCAACATTATGCATGATCACCAGATCTGTTCTTCCCCCAAAACAAGTCACATAGTAGTCATGTACTAGGTTATAGCTTGTGATGCTTTATAAAGAGGTGTTCAAAACAATGAATCAGAATATGAAGTGACTTCTGTTGCATGCTTTTGTCAGAACAGACAACAAAAAAGAAAATATCAGCAAAAGAGAAAAATGAAGCATATTCAGAACCTTTTTTTAATCTGATCAGTGAACATGACTGAACACAATACAAGGCCCATGAACTAATATTGGCTTGTTCTGGCCAGGGCCTGACACCAACTGTCTTGGTTGATGCCGTCCACTTCACATATGAAAGAACAAAACTTCTTTACAACTCGAGAAAAAGAAGAAACCTTGAGAACACAGAAATAGACATCAGTTCTTCTTATGAGAACAGCAAATGACAAGAGAATGAAATATTGAAGCATTAGAGCTATACTTTATAGCCAAATGCCAAAACAGTTGAGAGGCTCAGTCAGTTCTTGGTCTGTTTTCAGGAGTAACGTTAAAAAAAACAAAACAAAAAACCCTCTGAAAACAAGTTAAACCTCACATTTAGGAATGGTTGACATACAACTGCGTCCTTTACACTCAACTACGTAAACTCAGTGCACGGACATCGCGTGCACTGTTACAGTTCAAATGCAAAAATCAACCAGCAGTGACCTCTGGAGTGGTTTCTGGCTGAATTAAAGCCAACTGGTGTGGGCTGGGAAAAAAAGACATACAACACGAGGAAACATTGTGTCCTCTCCACAAAATGAAGCTTAAAAAGCACTTGATGGGCTGCAGATACAAAATCTTACATTATACAAGCAGCAAATCAGACCTAGATTGTAGAAAGCCAGCTTTAGAAAAATGCAGGGCTGGAAGATTCATTATTTTATATTGCAGCTAAACAACAAAGTGCAATTTTCAAATCGCAAGGTGTGTAATTTTTTTATTTATGAACAATATGTCTTAAATTGGGGAAGTTTACCTAATATCAAGGAGCTTATTAAACGCTTATAGATGAGTTAGACCGATCAGAAACAACCATGATCTGTAAATGATGACACAACTGTAAAAGTAACTGGCAGTCTGGCACACTTACAATCAGTATTCAAGCCAGTAACGTGGATGTGCTCGTCTTCTTGGCCTAGACGTAAATTTCTAGAACATAATCACAATTAAAATCGCAGTCACAATACCGGTCAGATGTTTTGCACAAATCGTACAGCCCTAGAAAAAAGAAAATAAACAATGGGATTAAAGTTTACTGGCTTAAAATACACAAATTATCAAACATTAGCGAGTGTTTTGATTCCACATTGCTTCATCACTGCATAGGTTGAAGGTTCACTCTACATGTAATATTGTGAAAGGTCATGAAATGACCTACAGTGAATGACAAAACAGTTGACCTTGAATTAGAAGGCTGAGGTCTCATTTTCAGCTGGACAAAGTCAGAGTAATTGCTTGAATATCCCTGCCTGATACTATATATCACCCTTCAGCCAGAAAAATGAAATTTTAATTATGCACATATAGTACTGCAGCCAGTGCTAGTGTAGTTATCATATTTGACCTATTCAAATGTCCAAATACACCAATGACTAGACAAAACCATGATGTGCTTTTGGCACTTTTTTCCAACTGCCTCCAGCGGTATTTTCACAATGACAGCATGATGTCTAGCATGCATACACATTCTTACACTCCTCCCAATAAGTAAGAGATAGGAACATTGTAGCTGACCATTTTGTATTCCATTAAAACAGACAGTGTAATCTTGAACACCATCCTTTAAGATCCTTCCTCTCCACTGATTAATGCAAGATCTTCACTGCATCAGCAAACACTATATGTACTATATAATGGAGACTACTGCAAGAACGTATGATATGCAATATCCATTAAAGAAGTAACATGTACAAATGCACTTGTGTGCCTTTCGCTTGCCACATAACCATGTACACAACCATGTACACAAACATGTACGCAACATCTTTGCAAATTTCACAAACGTTGGCCCATCTGGGGTCCACGATACAGCCGCTTTAGTACCACTGACGCAGGAGATGTGAAAGTGGAAGCGAAAGTTTTTCTAAATAAAACAGAAGGGCTGCTTATGAGTTTCCTTTTAGACATAGATCACTGTCAACAGTGGCATTTGAGGCATCTTTCTTGAACACCATCACTCTTTCCAAAAGACTGCATTATATGAGGAGTTCAACCAAGTAAAATCGCAAGCTGTGAAGTCTCCAGGTTCCCCAGCTGACAAACAAACAAGTCTAAGTGCAAACTTCAAAAAGACAAAATGTCATACAAACAGACAGGTAGAATAACAGCTGCATGAATCAGAAAATTATCACAAACTTAAAAAAAAATGTATCCTGCAAAAGATAACTAGTGTGAGGAAAGCAAGACATCACTCCCCTGAAACAGCTGAAGCATGAAATATTTCCACAAATCTTTGTTTCTTTTGAAACTGTGTGTTTACCTGGAAATATTTCTAACAATTTACAAGTTCATAATTATTTTCCCCCATTGAATCATTTTTAAATCCAATTTTAGAATGGAAATATCCTCTTAAAGAGATACGTCGCTTTAAACCTTTCAGTTAGAAACAGCTTATCATCTGCATACCCATTCAGCATGAAATTCCCCATGTAAAGGGGTCCGAATGTTATCATGGTTGTGTGTACATTGTCGTTCCAAAAAATGGTTTCTTAATGCCATACAACACTGTCGTATCAGACAGACACAAATTATTCCTCAATTCTCATAAAAATAAGCCTTTCAATAAACTCTCTGAATAACATCTGTTGGTATAAATCAATTTTGCCGAAAAGAAACTTATTCGTTTAAATTAGCCAATCACTCCTGCCCAACAAATAAAACCAGGTAGTGCAGTACTGAAAAAGCTCTGATCACATTAAGCCAGCTACTGTAGATCCCACAATGCTTGGTCAACAGACAGCCAAACAAGGCTTTGACTTCTGCCTTTAAAATAAAGAAATAAACCGCCTTGTGCTCTTTCAGTGTTTTAGTGCTGACTTTGATCATATTGGCACCAGCTTGAAGAAAAAAAAAAAAAGGAAATCCCCATATGCTACAGATATTTATCTTTTCAGTATGAACCTAAAGTGAGTCTGTCCACAAAAGAACTTGAGATGATGAACATAAAAAAAAAAAATCTAAGAAAATCAGACTGACCACTGAAAAGGTGAGTCCCAAGCAGTGTTGTTCTAAGTCCGTTATAATGTGATTGTTACACAAAAGTTGAAATATTGTGTCTCTGTGCAAACAGATCTGAGCCTTAAAAGGTCAAACCACACCTTTAGTCCAGAAAGACTATTAAGTATCACCCAAAAAACTGTTCAATTTAAAATTAAATGCAGAAGGTGGCAGAGGCTCAATACTGGTTCCACAGAAGGCTGGTGGGAGGACACAGCAACAAGCAAGCTGCTGTCCTCTGCTCTTCTTCCCTTTCAACGGAGCCTCACGTTCCACCTCTCTTCTGTGTTTGTGAATCATTATGTCGCTTCAAAGAAAATCACATGCTGGATTCAGTACCATAATGGAGCTTAATCATTGCAAGGCATTGCAACTTACCTCTGTTCACCAGCTTGGAAAATAAAAAAAGAAAAGGAATTTAAGGCAGGTTCTGGCTCAATGACCCTTTACCCTGACAGAAGAGGTCACGGATGAGGGCTACAGTCTGCTTATGCTGAGTGCAGTGGGATAACGAACTTACAGCCGAAGGGGGAGTGGTACTTGATGCCCACTTCCTGAAATACTTGCCGGGGAAGGCCAATGTCACACAGGTAGACACGGCCTGCTCTCTCAGGTAGAGAAAGTGGAAGCCCCAGGGACAGAGACCACTTAGCCTCTACAGCCTGCTCCTGCCCGTTCACTGGAGGATCTATACTCAGCACAGGGGCTCTGTTCTGGTTAGCCCAGTCAGCAGCAGCGCGGTACCACGGCTGGTCCCTCAGAAAAGTGTTCTCATGAGAGTCGAGGCAGTTTATGACCAGGTCCACTGGGGTATCTGGTAAGTCTGAGAGAATGCAAACACGTTACTGGTGATGCAAAGCGCATCAATATGCAATTCCATTCATGACAAAAATCAATTTCACAAGGAAACACAATTTTTGACTAGAGATGTAACAATATACACATTTTTAGATACAATATAATTTTCAATTTTGAGGTCAACAATCAATTCAATAATAAAAGGTGTGTGTAAAGCATAAGCCCTTCCCCCACCTGTTTCACTTTCACTGGATGCACCCAGACCCATTGTTTTGATCATTAACAGTGATTACCATGAAAGATGCCCAGAATATGCAGGGGGAATATCTGATATAATGTCAATATATTGTTTTGTATTTTTCAATACTATATTGAAATCATTACATTCTTACCTTTGATGCTGGAAACTTGCTTTCCACTCGTTTTGCTGAACAGTGTTAATTCACTGGTGATAGCTTCCAGCATTTTGACAAAGTTAGGGAGGAAGAGGACAACTTCCACTTCATGGTTGGCCAGGTGGCGGCCGCAGCTGATTCCCTGAGCTCCCTGTACATGTGGCCCACAAAGCAGCGCCACAGTTGGCCGCTGATGTACATTCTTAGGGGTCAACCTAGACAAAAAAAAAGAAGAAACATGTTTCAGAGTTCAGCACTAATAATTGAAAAATACCGTAAGCATTTTTCAAAAGAAAAAAAAAGAAAGAAAAATATGTACACCTTAAAGCTCCAGGGAAATAAGTCCATGTTTGTTTCTAAGTAGGTTAATCTTGCTCTTGTTGGCAAGCAATACACATGTATAGAGTATGTCCTGTAAAAAACGTTCCATTGTCCACTAAAAGGATGTATTTTGCCAAAATTCTACTATTTCAATGTAAACCAGGTGGTCCTAATCTGGGTCAGATGTACGTAAGCAGCATCCTCATCTATCACAAGGCTGATGTGGCTTGTTTCAGACAGTTTAACAAAATTGTGTTCCCCTATGGTTTCTCTTGTTTGAGTCAGAGAAACAGACTGAGGGAAAGCTAACAATCAAGCGAAAGCTAACCTAGTAAACATAACTGCCTGTCGTCCGTCCACTCATTCCACCGGTCACGCCAGCATTTCCTAAATGCACATCCAGCAGTAAAGTGAAGAAGAATTTTACCATCTTTAAGACGTCACCATGTAAGAGTCTGATACATTTTTAAACAAATCATAGACACAGCATGGTCTACAACACAATCTATATATATATATAGTGCCTGTTTCACTTATTTCTCCCATGCTGTTAGCAGGATGGGAGTACTCAATTTAGGGCTATCAATCATGCATGTCCATTAGAATATTAGGATCGCATCTAAACAGTTCTTAAACCGGTCTGATTAATTACTTTTAAGCCATGTTCTATTACAGTTCTGTCATGTTTTTCATTCAAACTTAGCTAGATGCTACTCATATTTTCATATCATAAAAACATTAACGTTTTACACTGGCTCCATGGGACTTCTAACATCCAGCATAACACCTCACACATCTTTCTACACAGTTACTTTAATATATATTATTTTAAGTTCACTCACCTGTTTGGGCCTCCGAGCAGTGTAAGTGCCATCTGGCTTGCACACACACCAGTCATCTCCAGCCTGCGCTCCAGAGAGAGACCATAACTTTCTGCCACACTTAGCAAGCGCTTGTGCAACTCGTATGAAATACTGGGGACCACCAGCCCCGAGTCTTGGAAAAGAGAGAAAAGTCATGATTTGACTGTAGCATCATTTTATGTTTGACAGGGTGTACAACAAGTAAAACCTACATTTTACAAATGAGTAACAATTATTACGTTTTCCCAATTACCAGTGCTATATTCATTTGTCCCAGGCTGAGGCACAGTGATCTGCCGGTAGACGACAGGCTTGGCTTCTAGAATGTTCTCGTCATGGCGGTAGCGTGAGGGCGTCTGCTCTGCAGGAGTTCCCCGTGACCGGGCACCATTTCCTCGCCGATCTGACGACTCAATCTGTGAGAAGACAGCTGCTTTATCAAAGAGAGCCAAGTTGCCCTCAAAGTCAAAGTCCTCATCAAGGACATCATCCATGCCGTCACCAAAACATTCATCGTCTTTATTCTTCATCTGACCATTCTTAGACCCGTTCTTCTTCGGGGTGGCTTGATTTGGACCCCTACTGCTAGAGGACCCTGCAAAAAAAGCGAGACAGTCACACATACTCTAGTCATTCCACTGATCAGTTCATAAGAGAGTAACTCATAGAATCCATTAGATGGATTAGGGTAATATTAATATTAAGATATTTCATTGGTACAAAAATTCATGAGACCTCAAAATATGCACACAAATAGACAAAGCATTTCATCCAATAAAAGCTGGCAAATTAAATGTAAACAACTGCATAGAAACCTTCACTGCATGTTATTTGTGCTCCTCTGGACACTCACAAGAATTGTGTCTTCGTCTGAACCCTTTATTCTGGCCCGCCATGTCTACATGGCGCTCTCCATAGCTTTTGGAATAGTGCTGTGCAGGAGACATTCCCCCCTCCTGGAGTCTGGGTTCGGCTTTACTCGGCACGGTCACGGGAGCACTGTTGACCTGGGCACAACCCCCTCCCTTGTCCTTGCGTCCATTGTAGCCAAATGAGGAGGAGTTTGTGTCAGGAACACTCCGCTTTGTGACTCCATTGGAGCCATTACGGATTTCCAAGATTTTGAGTTCTTTGATGTCCATAGCACTGCGAAGACACCAGAGGAGAATTAGCATTAGAATTAGTGATGGGCGTTACAGCTCTTTTCAGCGAGTCAGATCAATCGGCTCAGCTCACCAATAAGAGTCGTCTCTTTCGGCTCCCTAACGGCTCTTCATTTAACAGAATTATCAGGGTTTTTTTTGTTAGCCTACTTCAACTTTGCGGTGACTACTCTACAACACAAAACCCAACACAAAATAAGACAAATACACACCAAATGTCTTTAACTGATAAACAACCTATAAGTCTTCTTTTCCAGAATAGTGATTGCGTGACTGGTTCATTCTGCAATGTGACTGGTTAGATCTATCGCTTTACGTCCCTTTCCAAGTTTCGTGATGGCAGCAAAAGAACTGTTGTGGACAAAAATCGCTGCTCTTTGCCACTTGAGTGACTGCATCCAAGGAAAATCATAAAAACTAGCAAATGGGTGAAGCTAGTGCCTACCATTGTGCAAATCTGCGTGCAGAAAAGTAACGTATGGAATTGTGCAAACGATCCATGGTTCGGATGGAATTCTTGTGTGCGAAACCAAACCAGCGATAATGAGCCCCTCCCCAAACAAGCCCAGAATCGGTACTGGGTGCGGATTCAAGTATTAAGGACAAGTGTGAAACCGCCTTTGGAAAAAGGCCAAAAACTTAACACAAAGGCAGGTGTTGGAAATAATGAAGGGTGGAACCATTTGTTTTGGCTTAGTTTATAAAACAAAAAAAACAGCTCCTCAACGCGAGTCAGCTCCCAACATTCATCTAAGGAGCCAACTGATTCGCAAATGACGCATCACTAATAGAAAGAAACAAATAGATGCAAATTAAGAACGGTTGTAACACTGCCTTGACTCTGGTATCTTACTACTGTGTAAAAGTGACATTAAATATCTTTTTAAGACTTTTTTTTTCAAAGCAAAACCTGCAAAGGGTAGTTTGGAACTGAAAGTCAGCACCTACCTGAAAGTGACCTCAGGCACTGGACACTTGACTCCATTGTGAAACGGCTGTCTGAGGGAGATGGTTTGGCTGGACTGATCAACTGAGGAGACCTCTCCTTGGTATACTCCTAAAGTCACCCCACAGTTGATTGAAACAAGGCTGCCCAACCAGTCTGCTGCCATTCTGTCAAATGAAAGCTGAGTGATGTAGACAAGAACAAGACTTTAGGCATCTCAGTTCAAAAACAAGTGCTCCGATTGTTTTGCACTAACTAGCCAAGTTGCGCACTTTTCCTTTCTCGCCACAGATAAAAGGCCTGAACGGACATAACACTATTTAACTTCTTCGACATCAACAGGTGGCTGCTACATCCATACATTTTAGTCTAAAGGTGCAAAGACATAAATACTTTTTTACGAAATGGGTCAATAGCATGTGGGTTAATTTATCTATCTCTCCACGCCAAGATGGATTAAAGGGCTTGACTGACTTCTGAACAGCGCACGTTCACTTATAAACGAAGCTGAGGTCAGCTTAGTGTTTGCCAGCATCTTCTTAGAGTTTTCCCGTTCCACCTTAAATGATGCAGCGGTTCCATGTGATGTGCTGTATTTTCTGTCACGTTGAGGCGGAGTTTGCTTACCGCTGCACTCAGCTACGCTAGCTAGCCTACTATTAATGATCTAGTTACGAGGCTAAAGTTGGCTTTTTGCTCGCCAGCTTCTTTTTCAAATTTCCCGTTCCACCTTAAATGGCGCAGCAGTAAGAGTAAAACATTTAACTAAGGCGAAACGGGACAACTCGAACAAAAAGCTGTCCACTAAGAAGCCGACTTCAGCCCCGTAGACTCGTACTAGCAGGCTAGCTAAGCGCATCGGCTAGCAAACACAAGGTATCCTAACCTAACAGAAAATACAAAACATTACAGCCAACAAAGGCTCAACTTTGTATCAAAGATACTAATATATAAACAGATTGCATCTACGCCAATTCAAAGACACAATAACGTTGTAGCTAATGCGCTGTTATTTACCGGTAAAAGAACGAATGCAGTTATCAAAGTTAGCCTGATAACCTGGCGGTACTAACTAACGTAGCTGTTAACTACCGTTAGCACTCCAGCGGCTCGGCTAAACACTGTAATTTATGCACGCTATAATGGATTGATGAGTTTATATACATACCTATAGTAAACCGACAGTCTTATAAATATATGTACAAGTTTTCTAAGCTGTGATTTTTTTCCAGAAAATGTTCTGATATTTTCGCGTAGCTCGGCTTCTCGACTCGCTGACCTTCTTCCTCTGTGTTCTTCCTTCGAGTGCGCTCGACACGGTTTCTGCCCCCTGCAGTTCAGGAGACAAAACGAGATCAGAGCACCACAATATATATATATATATAGAGAGAGAGAGATATTTATACAACCATGAATGAACTGTGTTTCGTCTTACTGCATTTTAAACAAAGTGTCTAAAAAGGTAATCACGAAATTTGTGTAGAATTTGTGTTTTTTAATGCACACCGCGCCTCCTGTTCTGACATTCTCGTCACATGACAACACAACAACAAAGATGTCTGCTCTGCAGCTCGGTCTGCTAACAGTCTAACAGTTAACCAAGCCAGCGGCTGCTGTTTGAGAGAATTACTGCGATTTCTGTAGCTGTACTTTAAGATTTATACTCGAAGATCCTGCTTGAGGTGAGCTAGGAAGCCAGCCAGGTAACAGAGGTCTTTTTACGTGTAGCCAGCGCTCTAAATCCAGTACCCTGGTCTTCGATTAGCAGAAGTCTAACTGTAGGATTTCTGTGTCCCGCTGTTTTTTGTTGAGGAGGTTTCCGCGTTGCTTGTTCTTTTTCCTCTCATTTGCCACGTTAAAGGGGAAATCCACCAATTTCTGAATAATTGTCTGAATGATTCAGTTCTTGAGATGTAAACAGAGTCGTTTAATGTGCAGTGATTCATTGTATTTCTTTAGCTATAGTGGTTGTGATAATAACAAGGGCTCACGATGTCTACACCACAAATATAGGCATTTTATTTACTGTCCAAAATCTCCAGTTAACCTACACGTGTCTTCTGAGTCTTATATGTAATGTTGAGGGTGATCACTCTGAATGACTTTGTTTACGTCTCAACCATTTAATTACGTGGAATTTTTGAAAAATCGGTGGAGTTCCCCTTTAAGAGGCAAACAAAGTCGTTCAGACTGGTTTGATGCAAAATGGTTAATTGCAGATAAACATATAGAATTGAATTTGCCTTTACAGTGGTAGTGATAGGAACCAGAGGTGTCTACAACGCAAATAACCATTTCCTATCACCACCACTGTAAGCAACTCTGATTCAGTAAGTTTCTCTAGCATGGAGAATTTCACATCAAACCACTAAAACTGACTTTGTTTACATTTTAACAATGTATTTTATGAAAAAACGGTGGATTTCCCCTTTAATGTGTTCTTGACAGTAGACTATACTGACTTTGTGTACTTAAACACTTTGAATCATTTTTTAAAATTGTCTGTGCCAATCATATATCCACTCATCTATGAATGGACAAATGTTAAATAAATGTTAAATATTAGCTAATACAGCCCCTCGTCTTCCTTTTAAAGTTTCAGTATGGATCCGACTGCCTCTGGCATTTTCTGCAACAGAATGCTGAGCATGGTCAACTCGGAGGATGTAAACGCCATCATTCAAGCCCAGAGACACATGCAAGTTCTTTACCCAACAACTAAATCAGTTACAAGATTAACAGATTTCAGCCGTTCTTGTCGAACAGCACAGAATACAGATGTTATATGATACATAATTGTTTGTCTCTCCCTATTAAGGTTGGACCGCTTTGAAAAGACCAACGAGATGCTCATTAACTTTAATGGCTTGTCCAATGTGCGACTGCAACAGATGAACGATCGCTTTCTGCTCCATACACGCACTTTAGTTGAGATGAAAAAGGACTTGGACAGTATTTTCCGTCGAATAAGGTACTGTGTACATAAGTTGCAACCAATTTTCTTGGAACAGGGACACATGCTGGGCAGCGTTTATAAAGTATGTGTCCAAAAGTTTGTAGACTTCACTTCTAATTAGTGAATTCAACTACTTTAAGGTGCATCCATTGCTGATACAGCTGGTTAATTGCATGCACACTGTTTGTAAAATCTCCACTGAAAAGCTTTGACCAATAAGATGGGTTACTCTGGGGCAGCTGCACATGAACCAAGGTCACTATGTCCAGTAGGCATGGTATAAAGCTCCCCAGCATTGGGCTGTGGAGCAGTGGAACTGCGTTCTCTAGAGTGATGGAGCTCCATCCAGTACCTTTGGGATGAGTTGGAGGGGTTTGTGTTCCAGAACTAATCATCCAACATCAGTATCCAACCTCTCTAAAGCTCTTGTGGCTGAATGCAATCAAATCCTCACAGCAATTCTAATGTAAAGCCTTTCCAGAAGAGTAGAGGCTGTTACTGCAGCAATGAGGGACAAACTCTCTATTAATACAATTGATTTCAGAAGAAAAAGGATGAGCAGATGTCTACAGACTTTTGGAAGTAGCATGTATGTATGAAATACTTTAATATAGCTTGTATCTTTGTCTAGGACATTGAAAGGCAAGATTGCTAAGCAGTATCCTGAGGCTTTCAGCAGTGAGTTTTGCCTTGACTTTCTTAATAGTATTGTATTCACACTACAGTACTAATAATCATTTTCTGTTGGTGTCACATAACATACATTTGTCTAACAGGACTGCACCAAGTTGGCCTGTGAGAACATTTAATTCGGCCCTCCAGAATGTTCACTAACCCCACCCTCTTATAAGAGAATAAACACATTTTTATGCTGCATGTCACTTATTAAACTTGCTTGATTTGAAACATACCTTGCTTTTGTATTTATATATTTCTATATTATTTTATCTTTTTGACCCTCGGCCCACTACAAACATTTCAGTTTGGCTCCCCAAGACAAAAGGTTTGGTCACCCTGGTCTAGAGCATTGAGTGTCCTGACTTGGCTTCTGTTCATGCTGTTTATCATTTATTTGCCTACAGACATTCATGAGTCTCCCAGTCTGGAGGATGATGACGATGAGTTTGACCCCATTCCTCCCAGTGTGGCCACCACCGCCACCACAACGGAACAGAGCACAGAGTCGTGTGATACAAGCCCTGATGTTATATCGCCGACCATTAGCCGCTGCTCAGAGGAGCTCTCCCAGGAGAATCCCGACACACCCACGTCTAACAGCCCCGAAAGGGCAGTGCTGCTGGATGAGGGGCCAGATTCAGCTGAGATCTAGAGTCTTTTTGTAGACATTGCAGATACTGTAGTACCTCAAGTTATTAGCTAACTAAGTAGGCTGTGTTGCCTGAAAATGGTACAGTGCTTGCCAAATGTGCTTTTATGCAGTTATTTAAATTAGGATTTGAAGTGAATGACACGTCTTGGTCACTTTTTATTTTTCATATTTTTTATGTGTTAGTGGGCAATGCTGTTACACAGTGTATGTGTTTTACCATATCAGAATGCGAGATTATTTATTTTTACCTCACATGAAAGTAGCATAACCTGCCCCATATTACTTCAAATACATTCTTTTAAGCTCTAATCCAGCACATATTAATCCTTGCATCTGTGACTGAAAACATATGGGAAATGTGGGGCATATTGTAACATCATCAGTCTGTTAAAACATGTTTGTTGAGATTTTACTGATAACTTTGATGATAACTTTGATGATGAACATGTTCTGTGATGAAGAAATGTTTCTATGTTTGTACCAAAAATATAATCATGCCCATGTAGAGGTACCCATTCAGTATCCATTCGCAGGTAATTGAGCTACCATTAATACAGTTTCCCAAAATTATCATACTGTTCCAATTATCAGTGCTTGAGAGAGTGCTCAAAGTGAAAATGAGACAATAACTCTGAAGTGGTAATTGTCCTCTGTGAAGCTTTTGGGAAATTAAGCAGCCTTTAATTAAGGTTGATCTTGAACTGAACTTGATTTTGATCCCTTGCAAACATTCATACGGGAACATTGGGCATCTATAATGAACCCTGTAGGATTACTGTAGAACTACAGGACTCCTACAGGTCATGTTTGTAAGGGATGGTCTGCCTCTATACTGAAACTCACAAGATGATATACTGTAAACGTTGCATTGTTTATGCTTCCTAAGCATTTTATTTTATTAAACTCCCAAAACTGTGTATTAGATTGTATTTATGTGTTGGCATAATTAAGAACACCAAGGATAAGATTCACAAGATAACATTATCACAAACAGTTCACATTTAAATAAGTAGTATGCCAGTAGTCCAGTGAGAACAATCATATTAAGGGTATTTAAGACTCATTCATTACTGTCTTGCAAATAATGGATTCTTGTAGACAGAAAAAGTTGTATTATTTTAGGATTTACACATAGAGAAAGTGTTTCATACTGATATAGAGATGAAGCCCACAGTCTCTGCCCTCTAGACCAGTAGTCAACAACCCTCCTCCTTCCTGCAAGTTTCACCTCCAACTTGGATGTAACACACCTTGTTCAGCTAATTAAGGTCTGGATCCAAAACCACGTCCTATCATACTGAACAGTTTGCCAAAATAAAGTCTATAGGAAGCTTGGTGACCACTGCTCCAGGCCAGTGGTCACCAAAGATCATCTGGTACCCCATCCTCCAACCTTACTGATGATAACACACCATTAGACAAGGCATAAGACCAAACACATCACTAAAATATTGAGCCAAAAACTTAATGTGTCAAGAAACAGCACAGGTGTTTGAAAAATATACAGTGTTGTCAGTGTTGTTCTGCGATGGACTGGTGACCTGTCCAGGCATCCTACCTTCCACCCAATGACTGCTGGGATAGGCTCCAGCTCCCCCCGCGACCCAGAAGGATAAGCGGCTTAGAAGATGTGTGTGTGTGTGTGTGTGTGTGTGTGTTGTCAGTGTGTAACAGGTACCCTAAGTCTTCTTAGTACTGAAAGATTAAGGTCTTTACATAATTTAACCCAACAAAACAACATAACTGAACAAATTACCAAACTGCCAGGTATAAACAGGATAAGGGATCAAAGCATAGCCTATTCTTTGCAGTGTCCTGTGATATTGCAAGAACTCGCATAAAAGTTGGGAATGCTTCCATAAGTCTTCTAGAGGCTTATCCTGTTCATTCTTCATATCTAAACTGAATAAAGTTAACTAGAGACTTTCATGTATATATGTTTATTTAGGTATGTATGTATGCATGGAGGAAACTTTTGGGTCCCTTGGGCAGTTGCCCATATGGTAGATCCAGCCACGACCAGTGGTCACCAACCCTGGTCATGGAGATCCACCTTCCTCTGGAGTCTAGTTTCACCCACCATCTTGGCTGGATCAGATGCATTAGTGTTAGATAAGCAGGGGGCGGGGGGCAGCATGGAGGTTGGAACTAACCTATGCAGGAAAGTAGATCTCCAGGAGGAGGATTAGTGACCCACTGCCTTAGACATTAAAAGCATAGTACACTGGGGGGCGATATACACACGTTGTAGTAGATGATTTTAAACATACCTCAGACGTACTACAAGTCCCAGAATGCATCAGCAAGGAGTCGTCACAAGTCCAAATGGACTAGCGTCTTCCTCCGAAAGAGCATTCTTCATTTTCACTCCGTTTGATGATTCCTAACACAGGATAAGACGGGTCGCATTTGGCTACAGAACCAAATAAGCGAATGTTCAGATCAGAACATTTAAAGGTAAGTATCTAGACCTCCGAAATAGCGGTAACGTTTCAGTCTGTGAGTCTGTGTTATTGCAGGTGTTAGCTCTAGCTAGTTTAGCATCTTCTATCATTTTTTCCGTACGAGAGCTCGGATATGTTGCATTAACGGATACTTGTAGTTTATTATCTTATCTCGTTGTCGGACTAGTAGCACGTAGTTTGAATATATCCCCTGAACTGTAGTAGGAGAAGAGTAATTAGCTTCCTAGCTAATGGAGAGAAATATTGCTAGTTTACAAGCAAGTAACTTAACAGCGTTTAGGACAGGGTGAGCAGCTTCTCTGACTTCTCTGGTTAAAGTCGTTTTCTGAGAGGCTGGTTACTGTAAGCCACAAAGCTGTGCAGTAAAACATTTAAGACATTTCCATGCTTCAGTAGTGCTAAATACTGTGAATACACGAACTATAACGGGATCATGTCGAACTGCGGATGATTGCACGTTTAAAATATCGTCATCGAACAGTTTTGACTGGTATTTCAAACCGATATGTGACGATGCGTTTATTATATTCTGGAAGAGAAATGTCCAGACAGTGCTGGCTTCATACACTGTCTCATTTTATTAATTTTACTGCAGTCAAAGCCTTTACAGATAGCCTAACTGTTACACCTTTCTGTAATGCTATTGTAGGTGAACTCAGTCCCACTTTCGACATTGAAAGATGAAGTTATTAACATCAGCTGAACTCCAGTATCAGTGCATCCCTTCTAAATACATTTACTGTTAATTTTTTCACTATTTTAAAGGTGAATCTCTGCATAATTAAATTGTTAAGATGTAAACAGTCATTCAGTCAGTTTTTGTTCTAGAGAAACTTTGAGTCAGAGTTGCCCACAGTGGTGGTGATAGGAACCAGACGTCTGAAGAATGTCTCTAAAAGCTCCCTCACAGAAAGTTATTACACAAATGGTTATGAATATGTTGCCTGGTGCCTGATGATTCTTTTGAGATCATTTTGGCTTAACCTTTTATAATTGTTTCATGGTGGAGAGGTACATGCAGGGTGTTGTGAGGCAAAATAGTCACTAAAGAAGATATATTTTTCAGTTTAAACACTGTTGTCATTACATATGAAAACTCAGAAGACATTTGTGGGTTCACTGATCAATTCGGATAGTAAATAAAACAGTCACATATGTGCAGACATTGCAACGCCTGGTTCCGATCACCAACTTTGTAAGGAAATCAGACTTACTGTGTTTCTTCACAATGAACCATTATACATAAAACCACTGTGAATGAGTTTGTTTATGTTTTAGCAACTGAAGTATGCAGAACATTTGAGAAATCACTGGAATTCCCCATGAAGATACATCAAAAGAGCAGATGTGAAATGTTTCTGAATTGACATCGACAACTTTTGGTCATTGATATTGTGTACTATCGGCTGTTTTTTATTATTCTCATTATTATTCAGGAACAGTATGTGTGGGAAATGAAATAATGCATTGTCCCCAGCATGTAGGAGTGCACATTGCTGTTGATCTCTCTCTTATCTCATTTTAGATTAACACTTAACAGAAACACATATCCTACAGGTAAAACAGCCCAAGCAGCTCTTTCTGAAGTGATCGTGGCTAAGAGGACAGGGACTTCACTGTAGGGACCATTTTAGAGAAGAAAAAGAAAGATTTGTTACATAAAACAGTTCAGTCTTTTAAAACATATGACTTCAATTCTGTTATTCAGAGATAGCACTGTCAGTACATTTAGGTTAGTAGCTTGATTTAGTGAGCTAAATCACTCACTCTTCATTGACTTTTTAACTTTGACATTATGACGCTTTGTCTCGTTGCAGTTTCCTGAAGGAAGTGGAGGTGGATCGCTCTGAAGATGCGGAGACTGTCTCGAAAGAAAGCCCTCAATTTTGTGAAGGAGCTGGACGCTTTCCCCAAAGTTCCCGAGAGTTATGTTGAGACATCTGCAAGTGGTGGAACCGGTGAGCTTTCACACGATTACCAAAAAATTTTATTTCACATTCATTCAGTCTCTCAAGTCTGAAAGGGCCCTCGTTTATTTTTGTATTATATATGCCCCCCTGAGGTCCACTTATATGGTTTTAGATATAAACAGTAAATTTATTTTTACTCGACCATTTTCCAGCCTGTCTTTATAACTTAGAATTAAAAAGAGATTTGTTGTTACCATGGCTTTAAGAATGATACACGCAAGTGACCTCTGTTTTGATTGGCTACCCTGAATTGTGCCTCAATTAATAGCAGTTTTGTTTGTAACAGTCTATATAACTTTAGTGTGACTACAGCTAAAATGCTGTAGACCGAAAGGGGTGGGTATAAGTAAGTATGTTGTATATCATGACATTACAGAAAAGAATTCAAAACAGGCTCTTTTTGCAGCTTAGTTTCCCTACATGGACTGTTTGGACTGAGGAGTGAATAGTATGGGTTGAAACTTTAACAATGTCTACGTTCTACATTAAACTCTTTTATTTAAAATAAAAACTAAAAAAAACAAAACAGTTATCCATGATATGGGCCCTTTTTGGCATTTCGGCACAGCAGTTATAGTGAATCAAAATGTTGTTTTTTTCCCACTAACAGTGTCTTTGGTGGCCTTCACGGCCATGGCACTCCTGGCCTTCTTTGAATTTTTTGTGTATCGGGACACGTGGATGAAATACGAATATGAGGTGGATAAAGATTTTTCAAGGTAAGGCTTTTACTAGGATATGTAATGTAAAAAGCTAAATGTAATCTGATTGAGAAGGTTGTATGAAGGAAGAAAGGTCAGGAAACTTGACTTGTTTTTTTCTTTCTTGCAGTAAATTAAGAATCAACATAGATATTACAGTCGCCATGAGGTGCCAATGTAAGTATTTTTACCCACAGAAGTTCTTTTCTGATTATTTTGGGCTGGCCACACACTAGGCTTGGTCCTGGACAGCAAAAGATTTTCTTTGAAAAGTATGCAATTTAAGGTGTGGTTTAGACTTGATATATCTATTCTTATTTATTTATTTTTTGGTGAACTTTGTCTCATTCATTGTGTCTAATGCTCTTGTGAAATCACCTTGTTTCCTCCAGTTGTAGGTGCAGATGTGTTGGATCTGGCTGAAACAATGGTAGCATCAGATGGCCTTCAGTATGAACCGGTGAGAAGCATCACCGTGGAGACATCAACTTATTGCTAGAATACTTATTGTGTATTTGCCTAATATTATAGTTTATAAGACGTTTTATGACTCTTTTACAGGTTGTATTTGAGTTGTCCCCTCAACAGAGGCTGTGGCACAGGTAACCCAATTACTTTGCTTTAATAACAAAGTTTCATTCCTTTGTCTGTGTGGTGGGTATATATTGTTTTCATACTGCTATTGATTCAGGCCTGGTTTTCCAAAGGCAGTGCAGAATTAAGATTGTGTGCAAACTCAGCCCAAAGCAATTCTTCATTATTGCACTTGAAAGCAATGAAGCTTTTGAATTTTTCATGCACTGTAGCAAACTTAGCTAACCCACAGCTAACTCTGACTCATCCGTTCCTTTTCTGGTCTTCCACCAGGACACTTCTGCTGGTTCAGAACCGGCTGCGGGAGGAGCACTCCCTCCAGGACGTCATCTTCAAGAGTGTCATGAAAGTAGGCCCCACCGCACTGCCACCAAGGTCAGTCCGTAACGCCCTATGAATAATAGCATGGATTAGGTTAGGGACACGGATTCTGTCGCCCAGTTGGGTTCTCTCAGTGGTTTTGTGAGCATATAAAACAAAAATAGAAAGTTGCTCAAGAAATTTATAATGAAAGAGAAGATGGCCATCTTATGAAGAGGCTTATCAACAATACAAAAACAATAGAAAATATAGGACAAATACCTAATGCTTGTTTGATAGTCTGACAGCAACATAGATGCGTTTTAGCACAGTCTTCCTCAGTGAGGTGAGGAATGCCTTGTGCCAAAACATGTCTGTGCTGCTGTGAGACTATTAAAGAGCCCTCATCCTATATTGGTGCAGTTTTATGCACGAGAACCAGTCATAATTCATTTTTACATTAACTTCTGTTCTGCTCTGTTTTGGTTAGCTGCCCTGTATTGTGCTTCATTCATAAAACAGTCTAGGCTGAAACTGTCCTTATAACTTTAGCATGAATGGGTGGGACTAAACTGCAGTGGACTAAACAGGGAATAAAAATGAATTTTAAACAGGTTGTTTTGCTGCTTAGAGAGTTTATATGGACTGGAAAGTAAATGGTATGTTTTTCTGCCTCATGATGGTAGATCACTTTTTACTCTGCTGCATCACCATGGCAACTTATGTTACACACCCAACAGCCCTTGGGTTTTTACAATCACTTATTTCAGTGTAGGAAATAACTCAGACTGCATAGATATGAAGAGTGCAAAGAAATTACTATTCCGTAAAGCGCTAACACAGTAGCAGTGGCAATAGTGTTGCTTTTTACTGTTAAGTGTTTTCCTTTTTACATATTTAAGCAGTTCAGTGTCTTTTTCCATCTTTGAAAAGTAAACTGCTCGACTCCTCACGTTTCATGTGATTGGCTGTTCGTCGTAAACGTCACAATTTCAATTGCATCTAAAACTTGGTTAAAAGAGAAAGTTGTGAACTGCTGTCATAAAACAAGTTAACTTCAATTGCATTTGTTAAATTGTGACGCTGAAAGTTATTGATACTGTTACTGATAGTTGAATTAGCTTTGTGAGATAGTTAGCACAAAATCAACTGGAGCATCTTGAGGACCAGCTGGCAGAAGAAGTGCAATGTTATAAACTTAACATGAAAAATACAGGAGAGTTTGGACACTGCCCGCTAGTACATATGTTCACGTTACATGCTAGTATAGGCATACAATGTCTGCACATATTCACAGATACACAGACACAGAAATATAGTCCAGCCTTCGTTAGTGAGGATAAGCAGTTTTGTTTTTCTCTCCTTAGAGAGGACGATCCCACGCAGCCACTCAACGCGTGTAGGATACACGGACACCTCTATGTTAATAAAGTGGCTGGCAATTTCCACATCACAGTCGGCAAGTACGCATCCTTTGCCCCCTTGGCATTTCCCATTAAATCCTCCTTTAATATATAGCAGCAGATTTGCTACTATGTATTGAGCTTTGTGTGTGGCATTTATTGATCACTTAATTAAATGTGTTGTCTTTATCAGACTGATTATGTAAGGAATTATGCATGGTCTGTAGTTTTTCTAGTCTCTAGTCATATATCAGGGTAACAGTTTGCATTTATGCTTGTAATTTATTAGAGCATAAATAAATATAATGATGTAGAGCTGACTTGGTGGCTGTCAGTGCTAGATTGCAGTATTGATCTGAATAGCAGACTTTTCTTTAAGCATTAACGTATACTATATGTGCTGTTTATTAAAGGGCCATCCCGCACCCAAGAGGCCATGCGCACCTCGCTGCGCTGGTCAGCCATGAAAGTAAGTTTGCTTGTCTTCTTACCATCACATTGTTACTGTGTTTTTCAGAGAAAACATCAGTGTATAAGTGATCTTGCATTAATGTTAAAGGTTTGTCAGTTTAATTTTATTGCTGACTCATGTTTGATTAAGCAAACAGAGGACTGTGTTCAGGAATTTAAAGGTGAAACTGACTTCGTTCATTTTAATGTGCAAATTTGATGTGCAAAACTTTGTTCTTAAGAGTTTAGAGCTTTCCAGTGGAGAGAAGGAAATGCCCAGTCTGTCAAGTGTTTATGCAGTAATGTAGTATTATTTGGGGTGGGCATTATGATGATGTTCATTGTTAGTGTGATAAATTATGTCACAGTATACTTTTCTAGGCAAATCGTGAATATTGTCAGTACTTCAAGAACACTGACTAACTGCATGTTTCATTGTAAACAGCATAATTAGGACTGGTTAGTTGCATTTTGTACAGTGCAGTTTGTGAAACACTTATAATCGTTATATTCATATTTTTTGATAGTATTTTTTATGTGGCACTTTTTTCTCTGTTCCAACTCAAACCTCAAAAAACACAATGTAGTGACACATATCATGTTTATTGTGAAAATGTCTTGAGTATCTTGCCTTCTTTTCAAGATTAGGTTCTTACAGTATTAACCATGCCATAATCCCAAATAGATATCAGACTTAGTTGTGTTTGTACTGTCCATCCACAGCATACAACTTCTCCCATCGAATAGACCACCTGTCCTTTGGTGAAGAACTCCCGGGCATACTGAACCCACTCGATGGAACAGAAAAAGTGTGCACAGATCGTAAGTGCAATACAAAAGCTTGACCTGAAAAACAGGTTTTGCAGTTCTAACAGTAACGTAACGTTGAAAAGAAGTCATTGTTTCTCATTAATTCCGTTAATATTGTCTGTATTACATTATGTTTTGTAAACTTTCTTGTTTTTTTAACCTTTTTTAAAATCTTATGCTTTTTTTTTGCTGTCAGATAATCAGATGTTTCAGTACTTCATCACCATTGTTCCCACCAAACTGGAAACGTACAAGGTGTCTGCTGATACACATCAGTACTCTGTTACAGAACGGGTAGGTTAAAGGCTTCAATGTCACCCATGGTATGTGTTGGGGAACCAGGAACAAAAAAGAGTGTATTAGATTGTTTAGAATGTAAATAAAGCTTCCCATGAGGAAGTAACAGGTTTTGCTGTAATAGCACCAGATTAAATGAAGAAAATAACTGAAACTCCTGCTTAAAACAGAAAATGCTTTTTGCCTTCTAAACTTGAAATCAAATTTGAACTTTTTTAAACCTTGTTTGTTCATGTCCTGGTCGTGAATCATCAAATCATATCATTTGAAAGATAAAATTATTGTCATCTTCCATCTAAATGTAACTACTTTTGCTCCGCTTCTAAAACGTCAGATTTTCATTACGTCACCGTGCACCAGTGGGGCAAATAATATTATTCAATAATACCATATTTCACATCCCCCTCTCTCCTCCCCCACCTATCAGTGAGAGAAAACCCTCAGCTAGCTCAGAAACCCTCTCTCATACTGTGTTTCACTCAGAAATGTTATGGTACAGAAGGAAAATGTGTTAAGATTTCCAACTCATGTTGGCTTTAAGATACTAATTAGGCAATTACAGTACGTTTTTGCCTGGGCCTCAAAATGAACAGTTTAATGAAATTGGGGCTTTTACTGTGAATTATATCTACCAATTCATTTAATGATTAAATCAAGTAATCAATATTTTTAAAAAGGTCAAACAGTAAAAATGGACTTAACTGCACAGTAATAAACCATGCATTTGTTTGTTTTAGCATTTTTAAATATTCCAAAGTAGTTCACTGAAAAAAGATGAACAAGGAACAAGGAGCCTTAAAAAAGTGGCAAAAAGTGTATAAAATATACAATATTGTCATGCAGTTTACTCACTGATGACAAATGGAAATTTTTATCAATTATTTTTAAATCATTAATCGTGACTGACTTTTATGAAATACTATGTAGCAATGTACAGCTAACGAAAGACACTTTGACGTTGTGTCCACAGGAGCGGGTGATAAACCATGCAGCGGGCAGTCACGGCGTGTCAGGCATCTTTATGAAATACGATGTCAGCTCCCTCAGGGTGTTGGTGACAGAGCAGCACATGCCACTCTGGCAGTTCCTGGTGCGCTTATGTGGCATCATTGGGGGCATCTTCTCCACCACAGGTACCGTAACAGCATGGCAGCTGTATTTTGGAAATGTACCTGTTAAAATATGCCTCACTGAGAGGTGAAATGACCTACATCTGAGTAAGAGTGCTCTGTGGTCTCTTAGGTATGCTGCATGGCCTGGTTGGCTTCTGTGTAGATGTTGTCTGCTGTCGCTTCAAACTAGGAGTCTATAAGCCCAAAGGGGTAAGTTATTTATAAATGAGCTATTTTTCAACCCCAGTGTCACTATACAATTATAACATTGTGAAGTAAAGCAGGTATATTTCTAACTCTTAAGAGAAAAGATGAGGGATTGGTAAAATCAGTGTGCACTTCAGGAAGATACTTGCATTGGAATAATGTATTGTGTGAGCACGCCCAGAAAATTTAAAACCCTGGACATGAGTAATTTTTTGTTTCTGGCTTCTATTTTTTTTTTTTAAGCATTATTTTATTCTTTACTCTTATTTTTACTAGGGCTGGCCTGAGTAATTTAAATACTTTATTCATTACTTTGTATTTATTTTTCTGCTTAGTACTTGGAAACTTAAAACTTTAAGGCATGAAAATTCAGTTGGAAAAATGAGCTCTTTTCCATCTCTTTTAAGTGAAGATTTTATAGCAGGTTTAAAGCTTGAAGGCACAAACAGCAGATCTGTTTTCTTTGTAACAAACTCATTATCAGAGGTTTTAAGCTATTTGTGTCAGAGAAGAGTGGCCTGCACACTCCGTTAGAACAGCACAGGAGCTGTATGGCAACTAGATCAGATCATTTTATTAAATAAAGCCGTCACAACCATGAAAATTTAGCTGACAGTTAATTGTCACATAATTGGGATTAACAATTTAATTCCTTTTTTCACTGTGCACTGCCCTCTAAACGTATTATTGCTCCAGTCAGACGTTAGAAGTTTTGCTATTTTCATAAGACCCAGGACATGCATCAATAAATGTTTTCTGCTTTCTTTTTTATATATACATGTATTTGCCTCAACCAATTGAATGAAAAATGCACCTAACACAAACTAGCAACTGTGTAAAGTAATTGTGATTAGCTCAAATAATTGTGATTATGGAATATTTGTGACAGGCCTAATAGTAAATTATTATTATTATTAGAGCACTCTTAAAAGACTCAGCAGGATTCAAGGGCCCATATTTTGACAGATGTAAGAAGTATGTCTAGCACAGTCGGTATGGACTAAAACATTACTAATAATTATAACAAATGGGTACCTGTTCCATTAGAACACTATTGCCATCTGGATATATTCTGAACTGCAGTCATGAACATACAATTATGATTATGGTATGTCTTTAAGTACTGGTTAAGGAGTAAACAAAGTCATTTAGAGTGGGTTGATTTGAAATGCTCAGTTTTAGAGAAACTTACTCTAAAGTAGTGGTGGTGATTGGAACCAGACGTCCAAAGAGTTTAATGCCTCTAAAAGCTCACAGTACGTTATTACATGATTTTTATTTATTTTTTTTTTTGGTAAAAGAGTCCTCAAATAAATTTTTTTTCAGCTTCACCACTATTTTAGCATTATCAACATTACATGTGCAAACATGTAAAGACACGTAGGTTCACAATTTTTTTTGGATAGTACATCAGATTAGACATGGTGATCCTTGGTTCCTATCAACTACCATTGTAAAGAGATCAACAGTTGGTAATTTCTCTACAATGAGTCATTTCACATCAGAACAGTCTGAATGCCTTTGTTTACATCTCAACCACTGAATTATGCAGAAGTTTAGAAAAATCAGTGGAATTCCCCTTTAATTTTTAGCAATGAGCATCAAACTCAGGGAGTCTGGGTCTCATGTTAAACAGGGGTGTTCTGTTCTATTCTCTTCTTATAGATCAGCCTTCTCGATGGCCACGTGAACAGCCAAACACATCTACTCTCCGAGAACAACGAGCACTAGCATCCCTGCTCTGGTCCTGAGATTCTTCCATTCACGACACAAGCACACCCACGGACCCCGCTGTATTATCCACCTCATTGCCATTGTGGTATCGTGAAGGGCCGTCTCCACAAAGCACAAAACTCCAACTCAGACTGTAAACAAACAAGAATTGATCGTTTATCACCAACAGCATGAATAATCATTTCTGCCTGTCTAAGCAAGATATGTTATTCTTGAGAAGGAGGTTTGATCATAGTCCAGTTTGTTTACACTCCATTTCCACACCAGCTGCATATGTTCATTTAATTTATTTATTATATGCAGTTAGTTATTGTGCTTGTGAGAGGCAGCTCTTTCATCCCAACAGTAACCTGAGGGGTTACACACCATGACACATCTCAGAACAGCCATCACAACAAAATGGTCTTTTACTTACAGACACATCCTTGTTTATCCATCTGATACCAGTGAGACCGGCCCTATGATTATGATCATTATAGATATATTAGGCTTAATTTTAAAAAATCAGGTTTAATTAATCAGTAAACCCTGTACAACACAAATTAATCTTGGCAGTATTATGATTTGCATTGGGTTCAGATGGTATTCAGATGAATTCGTTTAGATGCTTGGAGGGGGTAAGGTTTTATCAGCTGGACACTTTTCTCAGGATAATGTGCATGATGTTTATTTTTATCCTAAATCATCTCAGTGAGATGACTGGTGGTTAAAAATATCATGCAGATAAGATATGGAAGAAGAATCTGTGTCAAATGACATCATGTGTACCTGTTTACAGTTAGTTGACTGAACTGTGGTCTTAAAACATTTGTAGGTGGATGATGCTTTAATTACACCATTAAAAAAACAGAAGTAACACTGTAATACAAATGTATAAGGAAACTGGTGGAACACATTTGTAATTGGTTTTCTACTGAATTTTTTTTTCCCTTGATAAACATAATTTGTGCAATTTGGCTGATTTGTGGGAGGGAACATGGCATACACAGTCCAGATATACAGACCCATCTCAATGATGATAAACTGGCAGACCCATCATGTTCATATATGTAGCTTAATTAAACAGGCTACTTAAACCAAAGGGGTTTGCTTTATTTAACATGGATTGTCCACATATAGCACATAAAACCGTTAAGTTTTATGAGCTGCAAGTCTTGCTACTACTGTTCTTTCTGACTACTGAAGTTTGTATAGGACTGCTACTCTTGACTGAAGCCCAACTGATGTATTGGTTGGTGAATAACAGCTGATAGTGATGATCTGCGGTTTTATTGGTCATGGCATCACTACAATTTGAACTCGCAATCTCCTGATGATGGGGCAAAACCTGCCACTATACAACAGCAGTACAGGCTAAACTGATAAAGGTGAATACAAAACACAATCATGGTTACAACTAAAAATGTTTCCAAACCTAAACTTTAACATGAGAACATGATGTAATAACACAAAACTGCAACGGCTCTAGATAACTCCTCCCCCAGTGCTACAATATTTATAAGACTGAGTTTCTGCTGTTTATCTGAAATGTGACCACTGAGAACTGAGTCATATTTCACAATTCAGTTGACAGTCCTATTGATTAATGATATTACATCAGTGTAAACAATAGTAATATTTAATAAGTGAAAGTGTATAAAACTACATCATCTTTAAATATAAAAAATACATTTAAAAATAAAATTACAATACTGTTCAAAAATTGGAAATGACAATAGGTTTTTTGATAACTTATATAGTGTAGACAAACATTTTTAACTAGGCACCATGACATAAACCAGTGGTTTATTCACAATGTCAAGTATTTGGGGAACAAGAAATTGAGGTATAAAAAATTGCACATACTATTATATAGTAGACTGTAAATAATCAATTCATAGTAATTTCTTGTGACAGAATAACTATGAATAACTATTTGATCAGTAAGACCTCTTGTCTAATAATTCTGCTAGTTTTCTACTAGTTTTGTCTATAGAACTGCCACTCTTGACTGAAGCCCAGTTGATATTAGTTGGTGGATAACATCGGCTGATACCGAAGATCCAATATAGATCCATTTCTAATATGAAGAATTCTAGATATTAATTTTATCAATTTTTCAGTGCTGTACAGCTTTTTAAGTTATTGTGAAACCATCTACAGCTCCGCTCATCAATAAGTTCTTAATTTTACAGTTCCCTACCTGTTGTTTGAAACAGAATACTCGCATCATATCAGTCATTTTATAAATGTATCTGCAACAAAACTGGTTATATATTATTGAAACAGTGATTCCAAACTAAGTGTCCCATATTACTTTTGCGTCATTTTTCTTTAAAACGCTGAGCGCTGTTTCCATGAGCTCGCGCTCATTCATCCAGTACATCATGATCCTAGAAGCAAAACTTGATCAGTAAACAAAGGACTCTAGTTATGAGGTCAGCGTCTGCTTTCAGGACGAAAACCGAAAAACAGACGAGGCTGGAGTTGCCTTCCAATTCGCCAGCTTCTTGTTGGAATTTCCATTTAAGGTGGAACGGGAAAATTCCAACAAGAAGACTTCAGCTTAGTGAAAAACGGATGGTTAGCCGTGACGCCCGCACAGCCTCATTCACCTTTCGGGCCTCTTTTTTCTTGCACTGTTCTTTGCGCTTGTTTCGGGTCTCTTTCTGGCGCAGCTGCTGAGCGGCTCTTCTTCTCTGCGCCTTCCAGAGCCACAGTCAGTCATCCAGGACGGGAGATTGCGTTTGGCAGACATAATAAAGCCGATTTTAAGTGAAACACTTAAGCCTAACTCAGTTTAGCTTTATGGGCTTCCAGTGCTGAGCATGTTTCTTGTTCTCGTGCAGCGCTGCGCGCGCCCTCCAGCCTCAATTATTCAGTTTTGCGTCTGAAATCGACACAGTTCACGTTTCTCACTTCACTCACAGCTTTCTCTCTGACTCCACGACTGAACAGCTCATTAACAAGAGCGCCACCGCGAGGTCTGGAGTCCCAACGTCTGTCCTCAATCTGCCGTAGAATGAAGGTCCTTTCTTTCTTCCTTTGTCTTTTCCTTCCACTTTTTCTTTTTAATTATGGAAACATGATAAACGTTAAGGAAAGCTTTATATCCAATTTTAAAGGAGTATTCCACCTATTTTTTTTTTCGTTCGTAATTCATTGATTGAAATGTTAAAGTTATTCAGAAAGTTTTCAAAGTTTTGAATAGTTCATTGTAGAGAAACTGGTCGGTTTGCGTTTGTTTAGAGTGGTGGTGATAGGAACCAGGGGGGGCATTTAAGGCCATTTTATTTACTATCCAAAATCACCAGTGAACCTAAAATAGTAATTAAGTTTTCTTACAACACTCTACATCTACCTCTCCGCCTTGAATGCAATTTAAAATAAGTTTTAGGCCAAAACTTTATCTCAGAACTATCTAAAAGCAAGTCTCAGGTAGCTTTTAGAGGCACTAATCTCTTTGGATGTCTGGTTCCTATCACCACCACTGTGAACAATTCAGACTCTGTAAACTTCACATCAACCCGCTCTGAATGACTTAAAGAAAAATCTCCAGACTGCACTAAAAGTCCAAAAATATTCAGACACCCCTTCTAATTAGTGAATTCAGCTACTTTAAGGGGCACCCTTTGCTGAGCTCCTTAATGCTCACCAAATCCTGAATGCAACCAAATTCTCACAGTAATGTTCCAACATGCAGTGTAGCCTTCTCAGAAGAGTAGAAGCTGTTATTGCAGCAAAGGGGGACAAACTCCATTAATACTCTTGATTTCAGAAGAAGTGTTGGATGAGCAGATGTCTGCCAACTTTTGACATATTGTGTAGCTTTCATTGCAGATACGCAGTCAAACCCTCATTAAAGCTGTTTCAGAGCTTTTACAAGTCTAAGCTACATATTTTACCATAAAAGACCAAAAAAATATGATTTTCATACATAAAAGTCAAAGCTTTTTAAAGGTAATCACTTCAAAAATACGACTCTCAATTCTGAGCATTTCTTTTATTTTGTTGTCTTTCAGTACCTTTAACAACCGCTCACACTCAGATAAACGGACATGAGTATAATGAGTACTATAAAATGAATACTTTACACCATGTCAAGAGTTTATTTGACAGTATTTCAGAATATCGTACAGGTAAACAAGAGTTTAGCAAAATTTAATATATCCGCACTGTTGCATTTCATAAAAATATTTGATCACTTAAGTCTTTGAAACTATCAATAATACATTAAACCATATTTATAGGAGTACAGCTGTACAAGGTAAATACACATCTAACACTACACAGTAATATCGATCTGAAATGGGCCCCTTGAATGTGCCATCTTTCACAGATTCAATATTTTCCTTAGTAATATAAAATGTTTTTTTTTTTCCTTTTTTCCCCCACAGCAGGCAGGATACAGCTTCAACAGTAAAAGCTAGAGCTGTGCAATAAATGCTCTCTCTTTTTCTTCGTACATCGCCTCATGTAAACAGCAATTAAATCTAGCACACTGCACCCACTCGTGTGAACCGGTACAAATGGATGTGCTAGGTACAAAACTTGCAGGGCCTTATGAACCAGGGAGCAGTTTCATCATGTTTTTTTCTACTTTTTGCCCCCCTACAAATCTGGTGCATTCAAACTGATATGTGATTTGATTTGGGTCACCATCCTACTTTAACCTCACATCTTCATGAGTTACATTCTGCGTATTTCAGTGTTGAAGTGGGTTGGCACGGTTGTCAGGCTGTGAGGAAAGCAGCAGAGGCCTGTCGTACTTTAAGCTAATCGTACTGCATGTAAAGGCAAAACAGAGAAATGTTTGTCTTTCATGGCACATGGTCCTCCAGCAACAGGAACCACAACATACGTTCTCCTTCCTTCCTGCTTGGCTTTGAGTATCAGCAAGACTGAAGATGGTGACTGATATCAGACCGGTCAAAAGTTCATAGCAAGGGTGAAGGAGATGCAGCTGGTTGATTTCAGGGTATATAAACAGATGGGACTCATTCTCAGCCACCAGTTTCAGTGGACTGGCCTCTACAGAAAAGGCCAGTACAGCCACTACTTCTGCAGGAAGTGAAAGTCTTTCGTCTCTACCATCTTTACCTCACTTTACATATCTTTTCTTCAGTATCTTAATCAATTATGTGACAAAGACCATCTTAATGTGGTAGAGCGAGTATCATACACTCTGTAATTAAGATAACCTTTGGTATTATATCTTGTATCTTAATGATGCGATGCTTTCAGGAAGCTGGACTCTATTATTGGTGACTAATTTGCTGCTAAAGAAGAGCTTCGTAGGATAATTAATGTGGCAGGTCAGGCAGCAGCTGCAGGTTTAATCACTGTAGGCCTCTGACACAGATCTTTTACAACAGACTTGTTCCTCTTGCACTGTAAAGATTTGTTGGTTTACCTTAAAAAAGTTATGTCTTAAAACGATGACTTTGTTGAACTTCAAACAGTAAGTTAAAGAAACAGTTTGGCAAAAAAAAGAATTACTTAGACACGTGTTTAGCGTCCAAATTTTGCTTCCTTAGTTTAGCATTGGAGCTAATATTGACAACATGTTTTCTGTAAATGGTGGTACTCCAAAGGCTCTGAAGACACTGGGGCCCCACATGGATTGTATCTTTCCAATTTATTTTTGGATGTAATTTTTAAAACTACTGAAAGACTCTTAATTGATACTCTTGATTAATTAGATGCCAAGAACGAATGAGAATTTCGATTTATTGTAGCCTGGTCCCACTCTGTAAGAAAAACAAGAATTTTGTGGGTTTTTTTAGCCTGGTCTGTAAGAAGAATGATAATTCCATTTTTTATTTAAGTAAATTTGATACACAATTAGGCTTTCAAAAGCACCGTGAAAAACAAAAAGGAACAAGGAACAAGAAAAAAAAACAGGGAAGACAGTGTCTCCCAGTTTTTCAGAGGGAAAGGTGGATTATGAAGATATACTGAAGCTGCTAATGGAAAAAAAAAAGCTTATGCTAGAGTATCTACAAAACTGCAAATTTTAGCATTTTTGAGACTGTTTTAACTTGAAACGTGAAGAATGTATGTTTGTGGAGATGTTAGTGGGCTTTAGGTAATGTATGTGTCCTATCCTGGTTAAAAACAAAACAGTTTTACTTCAACAGCCAAGGTGCAACAACCATTACAATTTAGTCCATTTGCATACAGTAGTGGTTTCTGACCCCCAAGGCGTTCCACAGTTTTGCTCCAAACCAACTCGTGACACATAGGAAATAAGGGAAAAGTGGACTGTCTGGGGGCCCTGAGGACCAGGTTGGAAACCACTGGCATACAGTATATTGATATACAGCCATGTTACTTATATTCATATGTTGCTTATATTCAGCTTGATACATCCTAAGTGGGAGAGGGAATTATGGAGCTATAACAAAACAGAGAGTAGGATTATCAAAATTGTCATGTTTTGCTGAGGAAGTGAGGTGAGCCAAGCAGCCCCTGCATGAAACTTTCAGGGAGCCCTACATCCCAACTTGTCAGAGTGGTTTTATGACGCAATATGATTTATTGTGAATTATTAAAATGAACTAAACTTATTGCTGAACGCTAGAGGGTCATTTTAGACAACAGGAAAGTGGAAAATAAAATCTGATTTTCTTTTTGCCAAACCACCTTTAACAGACCATTAAATCTATTTTACTAGCTTAGATCAACATTCTAATAAATTCTATGAACTTTTTTGAAATTCAATAAAATCTAAAATTTAAGGCGTTCACATTTTCTTACTTTTTAAAATTAAATCATTTTTACAGTGTGATCAATTACATGTGTAAAAGATCTTGTTCTTGCCATTCTTATGCTCTTCCACGTTTCAAGAACAAAAACGTCTGTGCGGTTATGATTTCACTATGAACAGAAATGTGGAGAAATGAGCAGGTCACAACTGCAGTCTTCTCTATCTCATATAGTGTCTATATTAGTTCCCTAGTGAAACAGCCACCAGTCTACTGGACCATTGATAGAACAAATTACTCTGAATCCTTGCCTGGAGCAATGTATATTTTTAACAATGTTTGAACTCAATATCCACGAGCAGACACACTATAGGCTTGGAGAAAAGTGACTTAACATTAGCAACAACTTCTACAGCTGCATGTTTCAATGAGATACTGAAAAGCAAAAAAAACTCTGAGCTTGTTCAAAAGCCAACAGGATCTACTTAAAGTTACTCAACTTTCTCAGTTGCCTCGATGGACAACGGCTCTCATGCTGTACCCATTCCTGCCAGTAAGGCACTCTGCCCCATACAACTGGGTCCCATTCCAGCCATGCTCAGCTATGAAGACTCAGCTATTGCCCCAATACCCAGAGGCAAACACCTTCTCGTCCCCTCTTCTGCAGGTGATTCTTTACTAAAACTCCCAAAGTCTCAGGTAGCACAGTTCAAGCAAAGCAATCCATTGCTTTCCCACTGTCTGGATGTAATCTCAACCGTTCAGCATCCACCTACTAAGGTCCCTTCAAGTTAGAGGCCTTGAAGGAAAGGAGACGAGGGAGGGCTGCTCGTAAGGATTGGGACGGGGCCCCAGCCCCACAGTGGTGTGGTTCATGAAGCACAGTACAGGGAGAATGAGGCTGGAATGACACACTGAGGCTTCGAGGAATCCTGCGAGAAGAGTGGTAAGCAGGTTTGGTTCGGTACAGTCCACAGTCAAGATAATACTGAGTTACAAAAAATTCTGCCTTCATAAATGGACTGCATTTCATAGGAATATAACGTAGTACCACATGTTCCATAGCATCAGAGATACTGTATTACAGATGGTTAGAGCTACAAGTCTTTTTATGGTTGGGTTGCTGATTGATATGTTTCTTTTATGTGATGTTTTGTCTCTTGCTCTCCCCCTCTCCATTACGGTACTTAAATAAAAATAAACAAAAAATGAAAAAATATATCATTCCACCTCCACCTGTCTAAACTCTCGTTGGAAAAGCACCACAATGGTTCTCTTTGCCTTTTTTACCTTCACATCAGTGCACATCAGAAGGTCTACGGTGGATTCACACTGACAAATAATGAAACACAACACTCATGTAATATTCGAGTTCATCGCAGATTCTTGGTGGCCTGGAATCCCCTTTCATGCTACACATAGATGTCTGAATTGTCACCTTTCTTCACTGGATGCTCAGGAGCTTCAGGAGTGCTTCAGGAGCCAACTCGAAACAATAGAAAAAATAAACAACCTCTACATGAGAAACCAAATGAAGGGGATCGGTTCCCTCTCAGATGGCGGGAGGAGCAAAATGAGCGAGGATCCAACGGGCAGGAAGACCAGACGTGAAGAGTCCGGTCTGGTCTTCTCGGACAGCGTCTCTGCTCTGGATCCAGAATCAAACCGTAGCGCGTCTGTGCAAGCCAGGCTGCTAGAGCTGCCATTAAATCCGGCCTGGTAAAACTACCATGTTTTCCTCATCGTAAAAAAACAAAAAGCCTGGATCAGACAATCTATGACGGCAATCCTTCCCTTCATCCTTGGACGTCATGTCTTGTCACACGCTGTTTGCACTCATATAACTCCCCCTTGTCCTCCCCTTGTTCTTCCCTTCCTGTCTGGTTGCCACTTTTAAGCACAGCTCTTCTGGATGGACCTGCCACCCCTTCTCTATGTGCAACTTCACAAAGCTGGTGGCACCAAGCGAAGCTGGCCTCCAGGGAGCACCTTGTCTGGTCCAGGACCCGTCATGCAGTGCCTATGAGGGGGGCCGGCGGAGCGGAGGCTGGGTGAGATGATGGGCGATGGTGAAGGGCGTTGAGTCGCGCTAGTGAGGCGACACTACTTTCTGCAAGGCAGGGGGGGCTGGAGGGACAGAAACTCCAGGGGGCGGCACCGTCTAGTGGAAAACATACCATGACAGTTAATGACCTATATAATCTTAAAGGGACAGTTGAACTAAGTAATGTTAATCTCTATGTCTAGTGACAGCAATGTTATTGTGAAAACTGTAATGATCAGCTTCTGTACAGCAGTTTGGCTGAATTACCCTCATAAGAACTAACAGATCTAACAGAACTAAAAGATCTAACAGCTGCAGCACTGTGTAAAAGTCAGACCTCCTTTCATGTACTTAATTTACTGTCAAAATGGCCTTTAAGTACAAGCAATTCATCTTTCAGCAAAAGAAAAAAAGCAAAAAAAACATTTAACTGAAAATTACAATAATTCTATATATAATATCAATTTTTATAAAATATTTACTGTGTCCACTCTTTGCCTTCATTACAGCTCACATTATTTTCGGGAGACTTGTTTTCAGTTTTTCAAAGAAATCTGCAGGGATATTTTTCACACCTCCAAAGTTCAGTCTTAGAAGTTGGTTGCATTTTCTGCTTCTCACCATCCAAGTAATCCCAAACACACTCAGTATGTTAAAGTCTGGACTCTGGGGTGGACAGCCCATTCTTCTGAGAACACCAAAAGTATTTTTGCTTGATTTGCAAATTTTCTGTTTTGTCTGTCTTCTTTTCTCAGTAACAGCTTCTTGACGGCTACACATCCTTTCAGACTCATAGCACTGAGTTGTCTTCTCACAGTGGAAGGATGGACAGAAACACCTGTGGATTTTTTCAGATCTAAAAGCAGTAGTGGAGCTTGATCTGTCAAAGGTGGAAGCTTTAGGCTAGGAATGCATTATGGTACTGGAATCATATCGGTATTGGCCCAGAATTCCCATATCGGTGCATCCCTACTTTAAGAACTGTTTATCTGATGGGGACAGTTTTGGTGGTCTACAAGATCTTGCACAATTGTTAGGAATCTCATTTTCTCAACTCCAGTTTTGGAAACTCCTGTTTTTTTTTTTTTTTGCTTATTTTCCTATGACCTTCTCCTTCCTTATCCCAGTGGATTATTTTATATCTAATCTACTCAGAAATATCTCCTGAAAATGAATAACTTGTACGAAATGGCCATTTTGACTGGAAGTAAGTGAATGAATGGTGGTCTCTGACTTTTACACAGTACTGTATGTAGTGTATGGTCAGATAAGGAAGCACTGACACTGAAACACAGGGCTGAGTCACAGATGTACCGATGACTCAGATCCTGTTATGCACATTCCTGTCCTTGACAGCATACTACAAATACAAGTAGTAAGCCCATCGGCAAAGCTGCTCAATGTGGACTAAAAGCAAACACATCACACATAAAAACAGACATGACTTCTGATATAAAAGGAGAAACAGAAATAGAATCAGAGAAACATGCAATTTGCCACAAACCGTGTCTTTAGAGTGTCCCATTATGAAGAAATAGGGAGAGGCGAGAGTGTCGCTTTTCATGCACATGGAAAGATTGGAAGCAACCATTCCTACAAGATAGGGAGTAAATATCTATACCATCACTGGCATTAGAGCAGAAGCAGAGAAGAAGAGAAAAAAGACCAGCTAATACTACAAGAGTGGTACAAACTAATGCCTTATCTCTACTGGCCAGGTTCAGGCAGACCACAGCATGGCTGCTGATTTTCCAGCATCTCCATTGTCATTAGACCCTGTGCAAGCAACCTGAACCTTGCTGAGACGCTGCATAGTCAGCAGACTTTTACTTCCTGACCCAAATTGGAAGGCGTGCAAATGAAGCTGATTGGCTGCAAGCCAGAGATAGGTGTGCCACCTCACACACACATGCTTCATGTTCAGTGAGGCGATGTGAACAAAGGTAGCCACACTGACAACAAAAATTACAGTCAAAAACAAATTAGCTGGCTTTTTAACACCGTTCTCTCCCCTGAGGAAGCAGATATTATATTTAACTTGCCTTAATTAAAGCTGTTACTAACTTTTTGAGTCCTCAGTCAACGGCAGTTCTGTATTAATGCTGACGTTCCGATGTATTTTATTCACAACAGAGAGGCAGCCAAGACTGACACAGCAGACACATCTGACTTAACAGACATGCCAAGTCTGTGGGCTGAGTGAACACAGCCAGTAGCATGACAGCATAAGATTAGAGTCCATTTAGAAGCAAATTCTACAATAAACAGCATTAAATGAGAGCTTTCTATACATAAAACATACAGATACACTGTACTTAACAACCACTTTATAAGTTCACTAACCAATGACTGCCTGCAGTATCTACACCTGGGCGTTTAAAGGGACCCCCCGGCCAAAATAAAACATTTACCTGCCACTATATCTTTTGTGGTGCCGCAGTAGTGTCTAGAGTGAGATTTTCCAGTTTAAAGACTAGGAACACCACCTTCTGATAATGTATCTTGAAGGTAACCTTTAAAAAACTACTTTGATGTGGATTTTTGGGGGCAGGCTACTTGATTTTTTTCATACTGGCTGACAAATGCAAAACAAATGACAGAGGTGGACAACAAGCTAAAAGCTAGTTATCTGGCTGCCTATCTAAATACCTTACCTTAGTTTAGCTTCTTTTCTCTGGCTGAAAGGGTAGAATGTCCATTTTGTGCTGAATAAAGACAGCATCACTGTTTTCTTTATGATTTTGTTCGATGGCCGAGGTAAGAGCTACACTAATGCTAGTTTGGTTATATGTATTAGCCTACAGATCAGTAGCCAGGCTAGCAGTCAGGGGCATGAAAGCTTTCTTAAGAAAAAACTTGCAAAAGTTCTTAAGACTAACACAATTAAACACAGTTTAACACAAATAAATATTCTCTTAAGATAATCTTCATTATTTTCTTACCATTTTCGTAAGAAAACCTTCATTGTTTTCTTTTGTATGCTTCATTGCATTTTACCATGTTCCATAAACGACGTGGATACATTCTGAATTTGTGTTGACGGTTATTTCCGTTATTCAGTTTAATCCACTCAGATCAGAGCGAAATGGAGGAAAAACCTTAAACCAAGCATTAGCAAACAAGAACTACAGGTGATGGTGGAAGAAACAGCCAGCATGATATAAAAAAATAATAATAATTGTGGGGTGACGGATGAGGATGGGCAGGAGTAGCAGAGGCAGCGTCTGTAATAAATTTAGACGCTGACCTTGTCAACACTTACAAGACAAGTGTGAGGCTATCGTAAGGTTAAGAAAACACTTATTTGCTTAAAAGAACATATTTTCAAGAACACCACTTGTTCTTAGAACTATTCTTTATTTAAGAAAATAGTTAAGGAAAGAAAATAAGAAGAATAGCAATTTCTCGCAACGTTTTTCTTAAGAATGAAGGTAAGAAAACATATTTAAGAAGATTTTCTTTCTTAAGACACTTTCGTGAATCTGGCCCCAGGAATTGATGACACCACAGGGATTCCTAATGGTCGTATGATGTATTTGCGTAATGAATGCTGAGCATTGTAGTGGAGGGAAACACTAATGAACAAAAACATGAAAATCATGATCATGAGTTCTGGCAAACTGATAAGGCTGAGGGTCTTTATAGGCAAATTTCCCTTTGTCATCCCCTCTTTACCACTCTTCACCACTCTTACATTAACCTTTAGAAGTTGGGGGTTATTACTGTAATTCTGCCTCATTATTTGAATGTAATTATTCAGTAACATAGTTTATTATGTAGTGACTTACATTTACATTTGATTTACATTTTGTGTCAATAACCTCTGACTTTTCCTCAGTTTGTTTCCATGTCAAGAAATGTCAGAACATAATAAAATATCTCCTCTTTTACTCACCAACACAAATGTGGTTTTGACTGAACGTTTAGAATCTGCACTTTCAACAGAATTTCTCTGCTTGTATCAATGAGTTACTAGTGAGAAATAATTAACATTCATTTACAGCATGCTTTTGTTATCTCTGCTGATAACTGAGATCTTGAAGTGTTGAACTCTTAGCTAATACGCTAAACATGCTTATTGTATGGAAACTTTTGTTGCGACACCCACCATATTCGGGCACCTGTCCTGTGCCCCTTTTCAGCAGCAGACGCACCCGTCGGCCACCTGCCTTGATGAGCTCGATGGCGCGGGCGTGACTCATGTCCCTCGTACTCTCCCCGTTTATTTCTATGATCTGATCGCCCACCTACAAACATAAACACAGACACACACACACAGCGCTTATGAGAAATGCTTTGGAGCAAAATCTCCCTTATTATTGATAATATTTTCTGTCTCTATGCTCTAATGCCTCCATGCTGTCTGTGAATAAATTACGTCTAAATTCATTTACAGAGAGCCTCCATGGGAGGGTCCAAACTCTAGAACATAGCCTGAGGTCAGACTGGTACAATCAGCTCCAGCCAAAACCGAGTCTGGCAGGCAGGCTGCTGGAATACATGCTCGATCATTCTGCAGCAGTGAGTGGGAGCACATGCTGGACTGACCCTCATCCTGCCGTTACGGATAGCAGGACCGTCCTCAGCCAACCGCAGCACGAACAGGTCCATCTTGTACTCCCTCCCTCCTCTAATGCTGAAGCCAAAGCCCTTCACACTCTTCTCCAGCTCCACAGTGAAGTAGTCATAGTCCTGCAAAGAACACAAACATGAGGAAACGGTCAGCACACTGAGGTATGCTCATTTATTTGATAATATTAGCCCTCTGCATTAAAGGGGCATTCCACTAATCTGTCTAAATTTCTGCATAATTCAATTGCTGAGATGTAAAAATCATTTAGTCATTCAGAGTGGTCTGATGAGAAATGGTTCACCGTAGAGAACCAAACTCAGAGATCACGATGTCTACAATGCAAATGTAACAATTTTATTTGCTATCCAAAACCACCAGTGAACTTCCATGTTTTTATTGATAATAGTCAAATAGGGGTATATCTGAAAAAATACTCTTTGGAGACTATTTTATCTTACAACAGCCTGCAAGTACATATCCACCATAAAACATTGTAAAAAACACAATTTAGGCCAAAAACTATCATAAAACACTGTCTCAGACATCAGGCAGTGTATTCATAACCATTTCATGTAACAACTTTCTGTGAGGGAGTTTTCAGAGGTATGAAATGTGTCAGAGGTCTGGTTCCTATCAAATATTGTCTACATCTCAATGATTAAATTATGCAGAACACCAGTTTGCCACAGTCATTTAACCTGAGTTTTAGGTGAGTTCATTTTACATGTTTATCGTATGTTGTATTACAATTTTGTTTACACTAAATGAACTAATTCAGAGCAGATTTTATCAAAGACACAGATTTTTCTCTTATTTTATAAGCACTTAGTAGTTATTAGTCACTGTGTTAGAGTTGTTGCTTAATGTGTTTGATCTCATCCAGTCGCCAAAGCGGTCTCTACAGCATTCGAGCCAAACTGTACCAGAAGTCAGGTAAACTATACAGACTGCTAAGCTGACAGTGACCATCTGCACACTTCTATTATGGTAATACAGGATGAACTGGTACATCTGAACACAAAACATCATAATGGTTAAAAAAAAACACACTCACTGCACTCATACCTAAAACACAACAAACTTTACATGAAGAGAACTGGCAAAAAATTAAAAAATAAAGAGTTAATTAACAGAAACCAAGAACTCTAGAAAGCTCCAAACCCTGGAAGACGTTTGTTTTATATTAAACTTGGTGAGTTTCTGCTGACAATTGAAAATTGAGAACTGCTGATCATATTTGACAGTCCAGTCAGTAAAACACTGTATAACCGAAACTACTTAAGTCTAAAGTTACACTATTTGCCATATTAACCACATGAAATGGTTCAGTGAAAAATCGAATTTACGCAACTTTTCACTCAGCCCAAATGTAATTGAACAGCCAAGACATGTTTGGTGTCCAAATTTTGCTTCTTTATTTTAGCACTGGAGCTACAGGAGTCTACAGGAGTCTGACTCTGCTACACCAGAAGTCAACAGACACCCAAATCTTTTTGTAAATACATGCAACAAAACGTCTCTCAACCCACTCAACCCACATCCTGCTCTTCATTACAGACGTGCAGACCTGTGGATGTGGTTTAGGAAGTATGACTTACAGTGTTGAGCCAAACTTCACTGTGTGGCTCAACACTGCACAACACACAGGCATATGGATGCTAGAGTACAGCACTGATTTCTGTTGTTTAAACTCATAAGTATATATCTTCAGTTAGAAAATTCTAAATAAACAATTATTTTAAAATAAATGGAACAAAAGTTGCGAATATAGTCTGTAGTCCATAAGTCAGGTACACAGTGAAGTTTTAATAACTTTAATGAAGAGCTGGTTGTGGTTTGAGTGGTTTGAGAGAAGTTTTGGGGATATTTTTATATATTTGGTTGACTATCGACTTCTGAAGCAACATGACCTTCATAGCTCCAGTGCTAAAGAGCAAAAAGTTGGACATCAGGAGCAGAAAATGGCTTAGATGATGAGTGAGTGAGTGATTGAGTGTTCTTTAGCTCTATAAAATCGGTACTGGTATCATGAAATTTTGCACTACACTGCACTTTCCACCAAAAGTCCTAAATCTGCAGTGTCTCTATTATAGTTCAGGCACTGCAACAAATGTATAGAATTCTTTATATCTGAACATAATACTGTATGGAGTTAACAGCACACTGGGAGTAGTAGTCCTACCTGTGGTCTGTAATCTGGGATTGAATGTTGTCGGTAGTCGATGAGAGGAGGTGGATGTCTGTAGTCCATAGTTGGAGGCTGTCTGTAGTCTGCTACTGGTGGATGTCTGTAGTCCACAGGAGGCTGTCTGTAGTCTGTGTACGGAGGCTGGCAGATGTCTGGCTTAACGTCCTGTCTGGCTTTCACCTCCGACCTGTAGCTGCCAACATGTTCCAGTTAGAGGAAAGCCTTTCTAGCAACAAATCGCATTTTGTTAAGACATCACACTGATGACTAAGAAGACGTGATGGTGTGAGAGATCGAAACAATGAAAAAACTGATGAAGAAAAAAATCTGTTTTTTTCTAAATGTTCAGATCATCGCACCACGGTGATATCTGGAGCTTTCGAGATGGTTCTGAAACATTCTCACATTAAAGCTTTCTAGTCAAAGAACTGGAAAAAAATAAATGTGAAATACTACTTAATTACAGGGTTCTGTTTCTTATTCAAGGGCTCAACTCATGGAAAACCAAATGTTCCTCACTTTTTTGTAAACGAGTTTGTTTCAAAACATGCTATTCACGCTCCAGTCCATACAGTCTGTATATGGACACTGAGCTGCAAAAACAGCCTGTTTTGACTATATTTTTTGGAAGGTCACAAAATCCAACATATTTAAATATATCCACCCATCTACGCTGAAGTTCTGAAGAGTGTTTCAACCTGAACTGCTTTCTGAAGGCAAAATACAGGGCAGCCAATCAGAACAGAGCTCATTTGCAGAAACCAGTCTTAAAGACACAGTAACAAAAACATTTAAATGATAAAGAGAGGTTGGAAAATGGTCATATAAAAATGAGTTATGACTGTTTTTGGTACATAAAACCATACATCCATATAAGTGTGGGAAACGATCAAATACAAGAAAAATGTAGGATATGGGCTATTTAAACTAAATATATGCATGAAAAATATATGCGTCATTGTGCAGAGAACCAGATGATGGTTTTGTATTTTTAAATGCTTTATTAAACAATATCATTCATCAACCATTTTATTAAGAAACATGTTCTGCTTCACTATGTTATGTTATTGATTTGCATGGTAATAATGAAATGCAATTTGGAATGTCTTTTCTTTTTAGCAACACTGCTTTGCATCACTTAAAGAAGTCTGCGAGAGTGTGGCAAATCAGATGATGACGTGGACACAGATCTGCAAACAGAAACAGGAGTTTCTGACTCTCGTTCAGGTGTCAAAACACACTGATCCCGGATCAGTATCATGCACTTCTTTTTTTTACCAAAAACTCAGGGGAACATTCGAAGCATTCCGGTGTGTCGTCTTTCTGTAGTTGGTGTCATGCCCATATTGGAAACTCCAGGTCCAAGCTGGATCTCTCTATGGCAAAAATGAAGGCGATTTTCACACTATCGCACCCTGTGGTTCCAAACTGAACAGGTCTTCAAAATATGAACTTTGCTACATGTGAGCTCACCATAAGACAGGCAAGCACAAAAAAATACCCCAAACAAATCAGTAAGCTTCTTCAAATGTGGTAGTTAAGTCGTTTTGGCAGTAGTAGTATATTAGGAGTAGCTGTTGTTGTTACACAGTGTTGAAGTTTAATAGATTTTCATGCAACGTTACTTCAACACGCAGGAGTGGCAGCTTCCTATTAGCATGGATGTGCATATTTCGACTCCTTGAGCTTGTAATTAAGAGGATCCGGTGACATTTAGTGGAAAAATGTACACAGGACAAAATGTATTGTTTTTGGTACCTTGATGTTCAACACAGGGCGTAACTGCTCATTGATTTTTGCCATAGTGCAGTCTAGCTTAGACCTGGAGTTGCTAATATGGGCATGACGCACGACTTCAGAGGTCTACGAAACCTCGTTTGGGCTCACAACTTGACTTTTACATTTTGATATGGACTTTGAAACAATGTATTGAAATGCTGCACTTTGATGGATTTAAAGAGTTTTGAATCTGAGTTTTGAGTTTGACTTCACTACTAGGAAACACTGATGTATTATAAAGTACATGTAGTGTTATGTTAAATGTATGTATTATGTCATCTAAATGTCTGTCTGTCATTCATAACTCTGAATCCCTCCAGCCAGTGTTTCAGGTATGGCTGTAACATCTTCTACATCAAGAAGCAGCCCCAACGGAGCTTTTTCACAAATGTGCACAACGCATTAACATAAGCAGTGGGAAACCTCACTTTCCTCTGTCTTTGAGCAGGAGCCAAGTTTGCCAAGTCTCAGTTCCCGTCTTTCACAAGGCATAAATCAGAGCAGACCTGAGCTGAGCTTCAGTGTAAGACTCGTGAAGGGCTCCCTGGGCGGAGAGGCATGTTTTATTGAGCAGGTATCCGCAGGTAAATAATTCAGAATGGGGAGTTAAGCGACGTTACACAACCGAGTGAGAGAGACAGAGAAGTGGTGCTTGCTTCAGGCAAACCTTTTCACCACCTCGGGCCTCATAGCTCAACCCCAGGATTTGTGCAGAGAATTTTGTGCACATCAGTGGACAAACCGCACGCTGGTCTGCTGGTGTAACTAATGTGTTTTCGACTTGACCCAAATGTTTGCCAGCCCAAAGAACAACAGGAGCTGTCCAAGTGAAACCCCATCCTATTCTGCATTCAGTTTGTGTAAAGGTATGAGGCTAGAATAGAAGGTATAGTCTCTATTTCACATTTCAGGTGGTCAAATCATCCAAATCTGTGGCTTTTCTAAGTTTTTAAACATGAGTGTTCCTCTCTAACCATTCCAGATGTAATAAATTATGTAAAATCATACAAATTAAGGTTGTAAAGGACTGTGGAAAAAAGTCAACAGATCCACATATTGTTTACTTTTTTCCCTCAATGAGATTTTAGTACACTGTACCTGCTGTCATGGAGGTAGAGCTGAGGGGGCACTGGGACCGGTACCCCACCAATGGAGCTGAGCTGGACACCTGGAATAACCGGAACACCCGAAACAACCGGAACAACGGGAACACCCGACACAACCGGAACACCCGAAACAACTGGAACTCCTGTAACACCCGGAATGCCTTGATCCACCACAGGGCCTGTCTGAGTCACCACCGGGCCTGACTGCACCGCCTCCAGGCTGGGCTGACTCACAGGCTGGCTGGCCTGAGTAACGGCTGGGCTGCTTTGAGGGCCTCCGGGGCCTGGCTCCACCAGCTGGGGGCTGGGCTGAGTGGTTGCCGGACTGGGATGGGGAGCTGGCGGGCTGGGGTGTACCACAGTGGGACTCTGCTGGGCTGCTGGGCTGGATTGGGTCTGGGGGCTGTGCTTCTGTGCCACCAGTGGGCTCTGCTTCTCTGAGGTAGGGGCGGAGTGGGGGCCACTCACGTCTGTGAAGGAAGAGAAGAATGAGTGGTGTTCAAGTGGAACACTGTTTACTTTAAACATATTGTCTGCCATTCACAACACAATAGCCTCATTCACCAATATCCTCCTAGTTTTTTCTTAAATTTAATCTTGAGAAAAGGCCACAAAATATTCATGATGTGTTCTTAAACTGCAGAATTGTTCACACCTTTGTGCTCTTGAGTGTGTGTAGATTCTGTTCTTTCTTAAGTATAAACCCCAAATAAGAAAACACTGGTGAATGTCAGGATTTTCATGAAAACTGCGTAAGCGGGTTTTAAGACGAAGTTTCTTCATATCTTAATATCAGTTAAATAGGGCATTTTTCCTGCTAAGTTTAAAATACAAACATTTTTATCACTATTTTACCATTATCAACATTACATATAAACTCTCAGGAGACATATGTAGGTTCACTGGTCATTTTGCATAGTAAATAAAAAGGATATATTTGAGGTGTAAACACTGCGGCCACCACCGTAAAGAAACCAGTAAGTTTCTCTTCAGTGAACCACATCAAACCGGTCTGAATGACTTTGATAACATCTCAATAATTCTTTCACGCACACATTTAAAAAAAACAGTGGGATTCCCCTTTAAGTTAATCTACAGGCCATTTTATATTACATAACACAGAAGCAGTAGCAGTAACACAGAAATACTCCTAAAGCATGGTTCTCTCTGACCTTCCTCAGGGATGATGTGCAGCGTAACGGTGAGGCCTGCGTCTTTGATCAGCTTCACAATGTCAGCATGTGGCATGTTGATAATAGACTGACTGTTGACGGCCATGATGCGGTCGCCAACCTTCAGCTTTCCGCAGCGGTCAGCCGGACTGCCCTCAATAATGCGGCCGATCTTGTGTGGCACGGCTACAATAAAGTATATATAAAAATCACTGATTAATTTCCTTCTTCTGAAAGTAAGGATGAATACAGAGATATAGGCAAAGGAATAGGGAAAATATGACCAAAACAAATTTAAGTCTCCATTCTGAGGTCAGGCATAATGTCAGACTCAAGCAAAGCAACGTTACAGGCCAAACACTAAGAGCAGGGTTGGTTTCATTGGGCAGGGATTAAGCCTAGTCCTAGGCTACACAGAACTCTGAATAGAGATTTTCCTTCAGAAAAAATGTCCAGGATTGGGCTTAATGGCTGTCTGAGAAACCAACCCTTTGGCTTTACAATTTAGACTTTACAGTTCACATTTAAAATCCTAAAATGAGTCTATAAAAACAAAAACAAAAACAAAGTGAGTGATGGAGGAGGAAAGACTGACAGATTGTGGCAGTGTTTTCAGGTCGGTTCAGGGAGCTGATGATGACGAAGCCGAAGCCTTCAGTCTCTTTCCTGTGGATGACTACATCGGTGGTGGGCGGCAGGTTGACTGGACACACTGCATGGCCTCGGGGGGAGCTGCTTTGATTGGACACTGCACCATTCTCTCCACACGGCTGGCCTGCAGGGGGCAGTAGACACAGTCTCAGTCGCTGCTTATTGCTTCAGCTTACCAATAACAAGAAAAGGTTTTTTTTATTGCTGTCATTCTGGCCAGTGGCAGTATGGTTGGCCAAATATGTGCCAACAAACATTGATGAATGAATCAACAATTTAGCCACTGTGACAAAAATGTTTTTATGGTTTTAAATGTGAGATCTGCTAGCCACTTGGCTCTGGCCAGTTTGGCAAGGCAAGTAGATACTTTGCTGCAAAATCTTCCTTTACACATTCAGCACAGAGCCAAATCATGCTGGCAGCAGGACTCAGGATGGCCACACTGACCGTAGCCTGGTTCATGGCCTGACCAAAAACACTGCCATGATCACGACCACAAGCTGCTTCTTAACTACACAATAACATCTTAATACTGCTCAAGTCTGCATAGCCACTCACACTGGATACTAGTACTGCATATATACGAGTACTGTAAAAACTGCTGTGTGTTTTTCAACTCTTTTGTTAAGCTTTTTATAATGAGATTCCCCATCAAGTAGGTCGGTGCTTTGGCCCATTTATCCAGTCAGATATGTTGCTGGTTCCCACTCCCTATGCTCCGTGGTTAATCGAGGCCACTCTGCCTGCTCTCTCTTTAAACTTCTGTCTTCCAGGAACAGAACATTAGCTATTTACAGAACATTAGATATTTAAAAGCATTTCAAGTTGAACTGTTTTACTCCAAAGCAGCAGCTATCCAGAGGCTGTCAGGTATCTTGGTTTGCCTCGGGCGAGGGAAATACTATGCTGCTGCTCCTTCATAGCCACTATGGTGTCAGTGCATATAATACAGAAAGTAATGGCACTTCTACTAGGAGTTGGCAATATGACAAATATATGATATCACGATACTTCAAGATATTTCCACAGTACACGATATGCATCACAATATTGTTCTTCTGAACTACAATAATTTTTATTCAGTGTTTCACATACTGCGCTGTACTAATTCTGATTAAAAAGGATTAATTACGCTCTCTTTGAAATGAAGCACATGGTTGGTCAGTGTTTTTTCAGTACTGACAATATCCACAATATGAAAAGCATACTGTCACATACTTTATCATGATAACGATAAAATTACTGTCATATTGCCCACCCCACTTATCTAATATTATTGTGTAGCACACTAAAACTTTGCTAACATGAAAAAGAATCCAATTAGTTTTATTGACATAATCAATGAAGTACTGTACAAGAGCCAGAGACTTACTAACTTCCAGTCAAGACAGCTATTAAGTATTTATTAAGCTCTTAAATTTATATTAAGTTATTACATTTTCAGCATCAGAAAAAAGTAAAACATATATTTAACAGAAAATTACACAGAGGTCTGAACTGAGTATCATTTTTGTCACTATTTGGTTTGTCCACTCTTTGCCTTTATTAGAGCTTCCATTCTTTTCAGTAGACTTGTTTTCGGTTTCTCAAAGAAATCTGCAGGGAGATTTTTCCACACCTCCAAAGTTCAGTCTTAGAGGTTGGTTTCACTTTCAGCTTCTCACAATTCAAAAAATCCCAAACACATTCAGTGATGCTAAGGTCTGAACTCTAGGGTGGTCAGTTCAGTGAAGCGGCAGAAAGTAACTACTGCTTCATTTAAGGTGGAACGGGAATATTTGAACAAGCAGCTGCGAATTGCTGACTTCAGCTTCATATCACTGAAGAAACAGGAGTGAGCGATGATAAATAATATGATTCCCTAACTGTAACTAAAGTCCAGCAGTGAAGTTGCTGAACTTTACCCTCCTCTGCTGTCGCTGCAGACTGGCAGGGTCGCCTACAGAGCACCACGAGTAGCCTGTTAATGAAGTGATGCTCTTCTTGTTCTTCTATTTGAGGGTTGTCCAATTTCATAGGGGAAGATTTCAGCCACTAGTCCTTGTAACTCAGTTCTAAAGGGAAAGGTGACACATGAAAACAAAGGCTAGGGGTAAAAATAAGAAATGGGATTGGGCCTTAGTGTTTATCTGATGGTGACAGTTCTGATGGTCTACCAGGTCTTGCAGGTGCTTGTTAGAAGTCTCATTTTCTCTGCATCCCTTAATTATTTTTTAAACTCATTTTTTCAGTTATTTTCCTTAGAATTCCTCCCTCCTTATGCAAGTAGATTAACTACCATCTAATCTCCTCAGAAACATTTCCTGAATAATGAATTTCTTCTACTTAATGGCCACTGGAAACTGGAAGTGTTGGCTCTGACGTTTACACAGTACTGTACATATGGAATAAGTGTATTGAGTATGTAAGGATTAAGTGTCTGTTTCAGTCTGACACTATGTGGAACTCACTGGGCTGAGGCAGGACCCTCCGTCTCACAGTAAGGGTGACCTGGCCATTGCGTGCGGCGGCGTGCATGAGGTCTATGACGTAGCGGTGTGGTCGGCCTGCCACAGGCATCCTGTCCACGGACACAAGCTCATCGCCTGGGCGCAGCCGCCCGTCCCGTTCTGCAGGGCTGTTCTCGATTATCGCTCCAATGACGATCTGTGACAGGGAATAAGTCTTCATATTAACCCCTTAAACTCTAAACTTATTATGCAGTTATTAATCTTATGGCTTATTATATACTAACTACTATGAATTATTCAGAAACACTGTGTAAGGTTTGTAAGTGTGAGAGTGAAGAAGGTAAATCTGCACTTAGAGACGGATCCTTAGAGTGCACATGGCATGGAAAAGCAGCAGTTTGTTTTTTATACCCCAGACAGTGTTTTAATACTAAATTGTTTGAGGTTGAGTAGGCTTTATCTGGAGTGCTAGCCACAGCTAGCTTAAAAGGTGCAATCGAGTGGGTAGCTCTACCCACAATAACAAGCAAGAATTATGCAAGAAGGCGCTAAGCTGTGTCTTGCCAAAAGAAACGAAAGGGAAGCACTGTAGCTTCCAACAGCCGTCTATTGTTCTGCTATTGTTTGGAATGCCCATTAAAGATCATATTTCTCATCTCTGTCTGCTTTTCTCTGTATTCCCAAGCTGGAATGAGATGAAGCGATCGTTGGGAGCTTCTCAGTTGCCCCATACGAGCCTTGTCACGGGCCTCCGGACTCACAGCCTGCACCGCCTCGTCCCCTCCCAGGATCCTGAAGCCGAAACCCGTCTTCTCCCTCAGCAGGTGCACCTCCACCTCCTGGTACTCCACACCTGAGGAAGCAGCAGAGCTCAGTACACATCAGCTCAGGCCATGCACTTTCGCTGTAGTGTGTGGTTCCTACAGCACCAGTCAAAAGCTTGCACACATGTTACTGAGTGTTTTTCATAATCTTAACAATATCTAACTTAAGACGTTGCTGGCAACACATTCAGAAACTTTGTCTTTGCCCCATTTAACTCATTAAAGGGCCGATATCACTCAACACTGAATTTTCCTCATTTTAAATGAAAGGGATTGATAGTGGTAGAATATTAACACTGCTAAAGTTTGCAAAAAGTACAGGTGACTCCCCTGCAGTCCATATATGGAAATTAAGCTGGAAAAGCTATTTTGACTAATAGTTTTTGTGACATCACAAAAAACAACACATTTACATATCCACCTACTCAGCCAACAGCAGTTTATCCCTGTCCATTCATGCTTAAGCTATAATGAGTGTTTTAGCCAGGATTGCTTTTTGAATGAGGGCAATTTAAATGAGCCAGAGGTCACTAACCTTTATCAGTCTTAAAGGTACAGTAACCCTTAGAATAACCCCCCCAGAGAAGTTGGTGAGCATGCATGTCCACAATAGTTATAGTAATGTGGATCAGCATGTGGAATTGGAGCTTTTTGCATGCTGCTACTATCCATCCATCCATCCATCCATCCATCAATGTATAAAATAAGCTCTATGCTGCTTTTATTATTGGATGCACAGTGATAGTTTCTGTGAGCATATACACACATTTAGAAGTCAACCCCCATCAGTGTGGAAACTTATTACTCATTTGATTTAATCAGAGTAACAGTACAATGTTTTCATGTGTTTTCATCAGAATTGCAGTTTGGGACACAAACAAAATAGAAATCTATGAATGGCTGTATGAGTATGACAAAGGCATTGAGAAATCATGTAATAGAAAATGTAACAAGACTATTTGTGCCTCTGTATGATTCTGCCCCCCACCATCAAGTGGTTTACTAGTTTTCAGCAGCCAAAAAAATCTCAGCATATGTCTATCTTCTTCAGTACTCTTGGAAAGCATCCCAGGTGGCTCCTCATGAAGCTGCTTGAGATAATGTCAAGAGTATGCAAATCTGCTTCAAGGCAAAAAGAGCTACTTTGAATGATCTAAAATATAAGATAAAATAAAAGATGCTTTGGGTAATAATATAATTCCATATCTCTTTTTTTTAGGGATGAACTAAAATTCTGGCCACCAAAAATGGCTAAAATAAGTGCAGTTAAATAGGACTAAAGAGACGTGTTAAAATCTAACAACCAATTTTAATAGAAATAAAAGTTACAAACAGTGACTGAAAACGTTTGGTTCCTTTGCTCTCCTGCGCCAATCAGCACAGATGTGTTCAAACAGTTTGAGCAGCAGCAGATCAGCAGTGGAAATGCTGGCAATGTGGAATCATTTCATTAGATGAGTGATTTGAAAACTGTTCATACTGAGTATCAAATAGGGTATAAAACAGTCCCAGAAACATCTCCACTATAGGTTTGATACTATTTGAAATCCAGAGAGGAACTCTTAGGGCCTTTTATTCAATAGAAACATGCTTGGATTTAAACTCTGCAAGCATTAAAGCACTATTCTTGTTTCATTGTTAACTTTTGGATGGAAAAATAAGGTTTAAATTCATGAAATGTCCAGTATAAAATGGGCCTCTCAGGAATTACTTTTCCCTGTATGTAGGTAGACATAGCTAAGCAAGCTCTTCTGTTAGTTAGGACTTGAAGAGAAGTCCTTACATGTTAGATTAAGTATCAGAATAATTAGATGACCAACCATTCCCTGTTGTTAAGGATGTTGCATTTTGTAGACTTATTATGCACACATTAATAATTTTCAAACAGCTACGCTATGTTCAGTTTAGGTTTTTATTTATTGTCAGCTCAGTTTTATCCAATTGAAAGGACTATGGCGGTATAAATAATGACAATGCTTTTCCTTATTAACCTATTTTTATGTTATTGATTGTATGATGATGTGCAAAAAAGTGCAAAAAAAACAAACAAACATAAAAAAACTTTTCTTTTTGTTTTATTTTTTGACCCAGTGTGTCCTGAATTTCAGTTTCAGTAGACTGGTACTGTACATTAGCACGCTTGAAACAGAGGTTTTAAAATAAAATGACGTACTCACACTCATCTTCACACTCTCACTCAACAGAAAACGACAGGATCACAGCAATAATAAGGAGAATAACGTGGCAATTCATTTAGAGTACACCAACATTTGCACCTGCTGTGAGACAATTCAGTCTAGTGGCTCATAAAACATCTGGTCAACCTGTCCTATAAACAACAACCATTCTCATGCTGCATTCAGACTATGGCCCATAAAAATCAAACTAACATTTTTCACTTGGGAACAAGGAAATTGCCATTAACTGGGAATAACCAAGCCATTCTACATAAACAAAATCCTCATGGATTCAACAGTCGTTAAAGAACTTCTGCTCTGTGCACATATGTAGGTCATCTAGTATCATATACACTGCAGTGCTGAACCTTATGATGTAGTACAAAGCAGAGCCAGGCTGGTACATATGGAGTTAAATATAGACCTGCTATCCACTGGGAATTCACCATAGACAAATGCATTAACTACTCGATATGGAACAGCGTGATATATGCATCATAACATGGAAAACAAACTGCAGGATAATCTACTTGCCTGTGGAGTCAGTCAGCGTTCGTGGGGGCCCAGGCTCTGGATGGAAAATAATGAGGAGATCGTAATCAGCGAGGCTTTATGCCACTAAATGGTGATTTTTATGAGAATGAATGGCTTAGATTGGTATTCATTCACATGGAATTACAGTAAGACGTGCGTGCGAACTCCTCTCGCTTGCATAATGTGAACGGAATTACTTCTGTGCACCAAGATGAATGTGTGCTGTAATGACCTCTGCCTATCGCAGCTGAAATCTGGACATATGGGAGGCCAGGCTTCTGTCGGTGCAGCAACCGGTTCGAGCTAATGAAATCAGCTAGAAGCCTTTTGGGCATTGGTTATTGCTGCTGCTCAAATACGGAAAACAAACAGAGCTTACATTTTCAGTTGTGTAACCAGACGAACCGTGAAAGTGGAGAGCACGGCAGTGTGATGCAGAAGTGTCCTTGGAGAAAAACATGCGCTGCAATCACGCTTGCGTTCCGTTCAGAGGGGAGAGGTGCAAACAGGTCAGCGCACAGTCACACTGACCTCAGAGTACCTGAGTTCAGCTGATTTAAGGACGTAGGAAGCTGTAAAGTCTCCCCTACACGTCTTTACCCTGAGCAGTTACTGTCGTTGTGCTATAGTGTTGAAATATAATAACTCCCGAGTTCACTCTCGACACGTCTTTCTTTCACTCTCTCTCTGCCCAAGTCTCTGTCCTAGTCTCGCCTTCCTAATCAGTGGTCCCCAGCACAAACTAGCTAGCCTCTGTGTAGCAGACAGGGCATAGCCCAGGCACACCCAGGCCTGCCCAGACTGATCACAGGCCTACCCTATCAAATGAGGAAAGAATGTTTATTAAGCCGATTTTTTTGGATAATGAAATTTTGATTATTGTTTTTATTTCTCAATCTTCCAATCACTGCTTAGCACCCATTGCTATCTGCCACTGCCTCAAGCCTTCAGTTTGTTATCAGCACGCCATTCTTTAAATCTGAAGCTCAAGTTGCAGTATAAATAACTGGGGGTGTTTAAAAAAGTCTGTTGTTTTCTACCCATCCAAAGTCACAAACAAATATTAAAAACGTTGTCACGTTGCTCTTTTACTACAAAGACTGAATTTGGTTTTGTGAAAATGTCAATGCAAACACCTAATGTTATTCAATACTTCATCACAGGTAAGACACAAATGGATCAAAAACATTTTTCATGCTCGCTGTGGCAGTATGCTTTTGCCTACGACGGTTAAGGTTTTTAAGTTTGCTGTGTTGTTTTTCCTCATCTTAGCTGTCTGATTTTATTTCAGTCACGTCATCTTCTTAGGGTCCGCCTGTGGCATCAGTGTGCTTTGGCCTAGCATGATAAACATTAGGTTTAAGTTTTTAAGTTTGCTCTGTTGTTTTCCCCTTGGCTGTCTGATTTTAACTTGTGTGTGTCAAGCTCAGTTTGGATTTAAATTTCATGTTTGGGTTCTCACAGTCTGCCTCCCACTTACGGAGTTTACCTTGTATTTCTCCCAGCTTTAGTTTTTCTCTTTTCTTTATTCTTCCTCCCTACTTTCATTACCTTAATTAATGGTTTCATTACAAGTTTTTAATCTGGCATGCTGCTTGTGTTGTTGACGAAACTCAGCACTGAGGTTGTGAGGCCCACAGTGGGTGAAATAAATCAGCGAAGTATGTTCCCATATCAGCAGAGCACAGAGTGAGAACATGGAAAGTTTATCCAGATTAAAGAACTTTAGGATGTTGTTCAAAAGCATTGTGTGATGAATAAATTGTGAAAGTAGAATTTAAACCATTGTCCGTTGCTGCATCCACAAATGCGAGTTAATACTGCACTATGCACAGCAGAAGCCGTATGTCAACAACATCCAGATACGCTGGGCTTGACTTCATCTGAAATGGATTGATGGACAGCAGAAACGTGTACTGTGGGCTGATGAGTCAACATTTTAGATTGTTTGTGGAAATAACGGAGGTTGTATTCCCTGAGCCAAAGAAGAAAAGGCCTGTCCAGATTGCTGTCAGCATGAAGTTCAAAAGCCAGCGTTTGTCATGTGATGGGACACACAAAATATGAAATGATTCTGTTTTTTTTATCTCAAATTAATTGGAATTGAGTTTGTAATTTTAGATTTTTTATCTGTGATAATGATGAGTCTTACTGTCACTATGTAGCAGTTTAACCATCAGTATCATTAGAAATACAAGGTTTTATTCTGCGTTTTTGGGTAATGCTGGGCCAGTTCTGGTCAGTTTCAGACAGAACTTTGTCAGGCTTGGTTCAGTTTTGGATTCAAAGCTTGAGGTTGTGGTTTAGGTCAGGCTTGGATCTAGTTCAAACTCAAAACTTGGTTCTCTGGGTTCGGGTCCAGCCCCGGGCAGCAAATTCTCAGGCTGTTTGTGAGTTCTGACCAAAATTTCAGGCCCAATTAAAGCTCTAATAGCTTTTAGTCCTTAGTCAGTCTCGCCAAGTCTGTGTCATGACAGACTCATGGGTTTCTTTCTTAGCCAGCTAACTTTAAACTTAGTTTGAAGTGACCCTGGATTTTTCTGTCCATGATGGTGGATTTTCGAGCTTTATCACCATGGCAACTTATGTTGCATGCCTAACTTGCTTCAGGGCAGGTTCAGCTCAGCTCTTGGACCAATCAGACACAGCCTGGGTTAACAGAGAAAGCTGTTAATCGCAGTTGTAAACCACAGCTGCATTTGTAAGGTTTTGTGAAGCTTAAACATAATCAGGAACACTGTCTAAGTTAACCAGCTTCATGAGGCAGGCTTCATTTCTTGCATGTGTTTGTTCCCTCCGTGTTTTTAGGTTATATTGTTGTTCTGTATTTTCCCGTTTCTTTGTTAGCCTTTGCACTCCCTGGTTCTTGCAGGTCTGTCCAGAGGTTTGCTCTCCCCTTGCTTGTTGGTTTGTTCTGCTAGCTGCTGTAGTGTTTGTTTAAATCTTAATAAAGAGGACTTGCACTCACGTCCATGTAACACACAGATTCTGCACCTTTGAATTTTTCTGTTAGATTCAATATCAAAACAGACTAAAACACTGCAAAAAAGATTAAAGATTTTACTTTCCCCAAAAGAACAACAATATTTTTTAACAGACTGATATCATAATAACATCTCTCATCTGCTGCTTATGAACAGAAATATGATATTGTTTGACAGTTTCCTACAGAATCTGAAAGGCCTCCTGACTTACGTCTGCTCTCATAAATGGCACGGGACTTCTCGTACAGGTCGTAAGGGTCAGGCTTGCTAAGGTGGACTCCTTCTGTGTCGGAGGCTGAGGTGCAGTGGAGCGGCTGGCCAGGGTGGGGGGCACTGTGCGATAAGCCAGGGGCTGAGAGGCTGGTCTGGGGGCTTCCCTGGGGGTCCCACTGTAAACACACACACATGCACAAACTGGTTAAGACCAGTTATGTAGGTCACGCTACTGGAGTGCAGCGAGATGCCAAGAACCAAACCTGTGTTCTTCTAAATGCATTCTTCTAACCAACTTACCAATGACTAAAAAAAAAACAATTCTTGTTAATTTTTACTTACTTTACCCTCTTCAGTTATGTTTATTTATCTATATAGTAATGTGATATATGTTTTTTTCGGGAAAAAAAAACACATTTATAAGTGATTCTAAACAATTACATAAAATGACAAAGTCTTCAATAACTAAATATAATATCACTAAATTCATTATTTACTGTGTCCACTCTTTGCCGTCAATACAGCTTCCATTCTTTTTGATAGACTTACTTTCAGTTTTTCCAAGAAATCTGCAGTGACATTTTTCCACACCTCCAAAGTTCAGTCTTACAGGTTGTTTGCATTTTCTGCTTCTTACCATACTAGTTATACCCAAGACATTCTATACTGAATCTGGACTCTGAGTTGGTCAGTCCATTGTTCTGAAAACACCAGCAGCTTCTTTGTTTGATTTGCGAATGTTCTTTTTTGTCTATTTTCTTTTTCCATTGAGGCTTCTTGACAGCTACACATCCTTTCAGACTCATAGAACCGAGTTGTCTTCTCACAGTGGAAGGATGGACAGAAACACCTGTGGAGTTTTTAGATCTGAAGTAAGAGTGGAGCTTGATTTTCTCCTCTCTCTCAAAGATGAAAGGTTTAAGTGCTGTTTATCTGAGGGGGACAGTTTGGTGGTCTACCAGGTCTTGTATGGTTGTTAAGAGTCCCATTTTCTCTGTATCCCTTAATAATTTTTTGAAATCCAGTTTTGGAAACTCTCAGGTTTTCACTTATTTTCCTTCGACTTTGCCCTTCTTAGGCAAGTGGATTATCTAATATCTAATGTTTTCAGAAACAACCCCCTGAAAAAGAAATAGATTTTGTTTCATGACTGTTTTGACTGGAAATTAAATAAAGGGCAGTCACTGACTTTTGTACAGTACAGAATGAAGCCTGTGAGGCTGCAGACAGTTTAGCATGTGTCATTATAGTGCACGTTATTAGAGATTTGAGCAACATGCCAATATTTATATGCGGTGCACAGTAGCTGTGAGCTACATAGAAAGGCTAAAGGCTTAACAGGCTATTGCATCAGAAGTGAACTCACAGCAGGGAAACATGAACTTAAAAAGAACGCTTTTCTGTTTTTCATGCTGGTAAAAATGTCAAAATACAAAATATATACACGTATGTGAGAGAGTGAGAGTGAGTGAGAGAGCGCAAGGGAGAGTGAGTGAGTGCGTTCGAGTAAGTGTAATGACGAATGAGCTGGTGAAGTGCATGGTAAAAGTGAACCTGTTCATTATTCCCTCGCTCTCCATTAAGGATGTTGGTGGAGCGGAGAGACCTGGCTCTCCCTGCGGGAGACGGATTGAGCGCTGAGAGAGAGTGTGTGTGAAGTGTGGCAGGAGATCACCAGTGCTTCAGTCAGACGCCTCAGGCAGCACGAATCCCAGTACCTGTTAGCTCTTCATTCCATTTCTATTGCTCTGCTAATGCTACTCGCACTGAATGAAGGTGGAGTTCTACAGAAAGCAGCTTTTTACAGTGCTGTGCAAAAGTCAGAGATCCCCCTTCGTTAGTTTAATTTCCAGTCAACACAGCCATGAAAGACAAGTTCATTCATTTTTCAGGAGATATCTCTGAGGAGGTTGGATACAAGATAATCCACTTTCATAAGAAAGAAGAAAGTACATGGAAAAAAGTTTCCAAAACAACTGCAAAATGATTAAAAGATACAGAGAAAATGAGACTCCTAACAACTGTGGAAGACCTGCTAGACCACCAAAACTGTCCCCTCCAGATAAACAGCGCTTAAAGCTTTAATCTGTGAGACAGAGGAGAAAATCAAGCTCCACTCTTGCTTCAGATCTGAAACAATCCACAGGTGTTTCTGTCCATCCTTCCACTGTGAGAAGACAGCTGAACGCTATGAGTCTGGAAGGATGTGGAGCTGCAAAGACGCCCTTACTGAGAAAAGAAAACAGACAAAAAAGTAGAACATTTGCAAATCAAACAAAGCAGCTGGTGTTCTCTGAACAAAGGGCTGACCACCCCAGAGTTTGATCATTAGAAAAGAAAACTTCTAAGACTGAACTTTAGAGGTGTGAAAAAATCTTCATGCAGATTTCTTTAAAAACTGAAGTCTCCTGAAAAAAACGGAAGCTGTTATAAAGGCAAAGAGTGAAACACACTAAGTACTAAAAACTGATAGAATGGTTGAGGCTTCTGTGTAACTTTCTGTTATATATGTTTTTTGCATTCTTCCTATATATATATATATAGACCATATAAATAAATAAAGGGGGCTCTCTGTCGTTTGCACAGTATGCTATGTTCCAAAGTATCCAGACACCTGTTCATCAACACTTTCAAAAGATAAGAGTTTTAATACCAGCATCCTCAGTTAGCAGAGTTTGAAGAGTCCTGCTCTTTGGGGTTTTCTCTGCACTGTCACCCTTGGCTTGTTCATTTGGTACTTGGACCTGGATTTTCTGTAAAGCTGATTTGTGGCTATGTTGTCTGAACTGAATTAGAAAGCAGCTTAAGACCATTTTTGAATTTAGCTGTTCTCTATTTTATATATGCTTTATCTTTCAATAGTTTCTTTATGCAACTGTTTTATCATTTCAACTATTTATTAATTTTAAATCTTTTTAATGTTTTGCTGAAGCAGGATGCCTTATTTTACTCATCCTTATCATTCTAACATTTCTAAAGCACTCTGAGCTGCATTTCAATGTATGAAATGTGCTATATTAATTTTTTTTAATTATTAATATAATTATAATTATTATTATATTTTTAAAACGCAGTTTGTCTCTCTTTTCTGCAGGAACAGTAGTCTCTACTCTTCTGGGAAGGCTTTACACTAGACGTTAGAATGATGCTGCTGGGATTTGAATCCATTCAGCCATGAGAGCATCCTGAAGGTGTTTGATGGTACTCCATCAGTCCAAAGAACGCAATTTCACTGCTCCACAGTCTAACGGCAAAGAGCTTTACAACCCTCTAGTCAACACTTGGCATTGTGCTTTGGCTGCGTCAGTGTTCCGCTCAACTGAAAATGCTTTTCTATGGAGATTACACGGCTGTGTGCAGAGATTCTGACACCTGTGTCTGCAGTAAACCTGCTTTAAAGCTGTCCTATGCTTCATTTTAACTACGTACACCACTGTGCAGGATGTCTACCTCACATATTCTGCGGCTGTTTGGAGAGTTGGGTATGCACTTCCTCAGAAATGCTACGTGTCCACATGATGCAACGCTAATATAACAGCGTGGGCAGTGTACTGCAATGTGACGTGATGTCAACAGCAGACTGAACTCGAGCAGGAAATGAGACTGCATCCCTGTCCCTCATGGTCACTTGGTGAGCAGTTAGATCCCATTGTTTTGAAGTGAATGTGCACCAAAGTCTGAAAAGTGTGTACCAGTACCATTCAGAACTGTCACTACTGAAACACAGATTTTTCTTCAATTAAATAAACTTGTTATGTGTGTAGAACTGTTCAAAGCTGTGCCTATAAGTAATTTACTGGCTAGCATTTTTAGCGAGTTAGGCTTAAAATTAGCTAACGTTGTCACTACCGAAACAGTCACTACCGAAACAGCTGGTAAAACTTCTGAGCCATTGTTTTTGTATTGGTAGCGATTTTTCTTTTAAATAAATAAACATAATTAAGGTTAGTGTAACTTAGGTTAGCAAAATGATTTTAGTCAGTTAAAAGAGTATTTTCAACTCCGACTTCGAATTAATTCAACGGAATGATCCATATATCACATTACTAATGATGAAGTATCCTTTTGGTAAGAGCCTCAGACTTGAAAGTAGCTGAATTTACAATGAGAAGGGTGTCTGAGTACTTTTGGAGATGTAAGGTTCATCTCATTACTCTAATTGATGTCTCCTCGATTCCTCGCTCCAATATCCTCCAGCTTGGAAATCAATGGAAATCCATCTTTAAGGACGTTTCAGCTTAGAGTAATTGAGTAGTGAGCAGAGAGGAGGCTCCAGGTCAAGGAAACATGTGTGCATCCTATGTGGAAGTCTTATTTGCATGTTCTTATGTTTTCCCTAGTATGGCCCCACCCCTTTTTCTATTATTGCTGATTTTACAACAGCAGCGTGATGAAGCACGGTAAAATTACATCTGACCCCTCTCATCCTGGACATCACCTCTTTCAGCCACTCCCCTCTGGTAGAAGATTCAGGGCCATCAGGACCAACCAGGCATAACATTATGACCACCTCCTTGTTTTTACGCTCATTGTCCATTTTATCAGCTCCACTTACTATATAGGTGCACTTTGTAGTTCTACAACACTGATATGGTGGAGGTGTGTTAGTGTGTGTTGCGCTGGTACGAGTGGATCAGACACAGCAGTGCTGCTGGAGTTTTCAAACACCTCAGTGTCACTGCTGGACTGAGAATAGTCCACCAACCAAAAATATCCAGCCAACAGCGTCCTGTGGGCAGCGTCCTGTGACCACTGATGAAGGACTAGAGGATGACCAACACAAACTGTGCAGCAGCAGATGAGCTGTCATCTCTGGCTTTACATCTACAAGGTGGACTGACAAGGTAGGAGTGTCTAATAGAGTGGACAGTGAGTGGACACAGTGTTTAAAAACTCCAGCAGCACTGCTGTGTCTGATCTACTCGTACCAGCACAACACACACCAACACACCACCACCACATCAGTGTTACTGCAGTGCTGAGAATGATCCACCATCAAAATAGTACCTGCTCTGTGAGGGTCCATGGGGGGCCTGACCACTGAAGAACAGGTTAAAAGGGGGCTAACAAAGTATGCAGAGAAACAGATGGACTACAGTCTGTAATTGTAGAACTACAAAGTGCACCTATATAGTAAAGTGGAGCTGATAAAATGGACAATGAGCATAGAAACAAGGATCATAATGTTATGCCTGATTGGTGTGTAGATAAATATTATCAATATATTTCTTATATTATTTTCATTTTGTCTTGAGTGTGTTTTGCTTTGCGAATAAAACACATGCTCATACATCCTGCTTCAATATCTCACTTGTTCATGTGCAACATAGGCCTGCGATACATTTTTCCCACCTCCTCTTGGCTGGTGTAGTTACCAGATGATTAGAAGTAATGGGATGGTACTGCAAAAGGTTAATCAAAGTTAATTAAATTGTTGATGAGATTGAAATTCAATAAACACGCCTATGTGAAAAGTCAGTTGATAATAAAATAGAAGTGTCAATATAGGTAGTTATGAAACAGGTGAAACAGGTGATGAAAATGATGACAGAGTGTGATACGTCTCATTTCTTAAATACATTTGCCGTCGATTCCTCCATCCTCACATCTAGACTAAAGGAAGGAAAGGCAAATTAAAGACACGAGATGAACCCACAGTATACTACACACTATACACACCTCATACGTCCTTATATAACATAACACTGTAAAAAAAAACTCTTGATTCTTCTTGGAAAAAATCTTACAAAGCTCTCTTGGGAATAAAGTGCTGGAAGGCTCAGGGTCACATTTCAGCAATGATAAAACACTGGAATATACTACACCATAATCCACACTCAGGAGCGAGGGGGGGCCGAAAATCACAATAAGACAGCTGTGGCGTTTTAGATTCAGCTGAGAGGCAAGGCTGGGAAAGCTTGTTCATGGTCTGGCAGAGCAATTCACTTCCTATGACAGCATGATGAAAAAGGGAGATCTCAGGGACAGAGGTAGAGGAATATCAATTGAGAATCATCTGCATAATCGTTGGAATCGGAATAATTTCTCTTCATGACAAACACATTCTGCCTTTACGCGCACGCTCACACACACACCTCGCCATCAGTTACAGGGCTTTGTTTGCTAATGCAGTAACATGGAAAGCATACTGATTGGGCAGGCCACCCGTGGCGACGGCATTAATGCGTCTGTCACCCCATTCAATTTCCTTTCAGATTTTTCGACACCCAGTAAAGCAGACGATACAGGATGGAAGTAACCAGTTGGGCCAGTGGTGCAGGCAGAAATCGCCTGCTTACTACAGATTCAAACTCAGCTCTGAGCCGTCTCCTGGAACAAACCCTGGATCAGGCTGCAGGAGGGAGAGCTGGTCCCAGATCAGTATTTAAGGGCAACCTCTACTGGAAGCCAAATCCTATTATGCTACACAAAGATGCGATTTGATCCTTTACCCCATGAGGCCGTCAGATCTTCCAGCACTGTCAGTGCAGATAGGGAAAGAAAGGCGTAATATCTGTATTCATATTCCACTGCCATTATAAGACTCCCAATGATATCTTTCCTTAATATCCATGACTGGAATTTGGATGGGTTTTTTAGCTTTTTAATAGGACTTTGTTTTCTGAAATAATGGCTATGTTCAGACTGGAGGTTCAAGTAGCCCAAATCCGATTTATTTTCCAAATCCGATATTTTTGGTTGTTCACATAATCTTTGTAACGTGACCTATATCTGACATTAGTCGTCCGTCAATAACCGACCCACATGTGCAAAACAATACAGATCTAATCAGCATGCTCATCCAACAAACACAGCTGTGCTCTATCTTTCCTTAAGATTCATTTGCCACAAAAAATACAGACAATGAAACAGACAAACAGTGCAAACCATGCTAACGTTATTCTCTTTAGCCCAGGCGTCAGCAACATGTGGCTCCGGGACCACATGCGGCTCTTCTACTGCCCTGTTGTGGCTCCACAGCAGAATTAGATTTTTAGATAAAAATAAAATTATCCTCCTTTGCAGTAAAATAAAGCTCTGCTGATTGTTCAACACAGTTTTAGGAATAAATGGTCTTAAACACTGGAGGTAATGTACCCTATAACTTCTAATTCACCAACTTTTGACCCTGAAGGTTGGCGAGCAGACTGCTGGTCACCATAGCAACGTAGACAACAGTCTTGCCTCGCTGATAGCTAACAAAAAGGCAAAGAGAAAGATTTAAGGCGAACATCGCCATCGAAAATTTGGAGACGATTGGACTTATTTGTATTTATAAGCAGTTCAACTGGTTTCCTGATACATTTAATCTGCAACTAGACTGACTTCAGCTTTGTGTTCGAATTTTCCCGTTCCACCTTAAATGGTGCAGAAGTTTCATTCTGGTACCTCAGGCACCACTTAAGGAAAATGGAATGGGAAAATTAGAACAAGCGACTTCAGCCTCGCAAAAAGTGAAACGTTGAGAGACATTTTACAAGAAACTATTCTACTTTTGAGGAAAAGTTTCCTGCTGGAGATGAGAGAAAAGCAGCTATAGCTGAGCTAAAGCTTAAAGCAGAGCTAAGTAAGTCTGAGTTTTTGTTTATATTATATTTTTTAGTCTATACTAGCACATCAGCACATACTGAGACATAATTACAGCCAACATGGTAAAATGAACATAAGATGTTGTGGCTCTCAAGGTGGTTAGATTTTTGTTGAAAGGACAAAATGGCCCTTTTTAACATTTGGGTTGCGACCCCTGCTTTAGCTGAATGGCTGTGTCAGGCATGTTTCAGTCACATCTCAAATGAAAACCAAATGCAGCAGACTCTCAATCACCGCCCACTGTCTAGTCTGTAACATTCAAATAGTCCATTTGTTTTCGAGGCAGCAGAAACAAAAGACTTCTGGGATTAGCCTTACTCTAACATGGACAGCACAGCGACTACTGTGCTTTTGCCACCTGAGAAGCTCCCTTACTCAGTCTTCTGCATCACACGACACAACAGTCGGAGCCTTGTGTAAAACAAGCTGTGGACAAGTTGGTACTAATAGCATGGTTGACTATATTATTTGGCAAATTCCCACAGTGTCTGATGGTATGTATGAGACCAATCACTATCGAAATTCAACGAATTTTCCATTCCACCTTGAATGGTGCAGCAGTTACATTTATGTGCCTGTACATGTGCCACAATGTACTGATGCTCCATTTAAGGTGAAACTGAAAATTCTAATTAAAGCTGCCAAATAAGAAGCCAACTTCAGCTTTGTAGAAATTCAGACAACATTCAGTATCTGTTTTGCCAGCCTGTGAAGGTTTTTATTCTTGTTGCATGTACAACAGTGTGATGAAAATTGAGTTGAATTGACATAAAAGTTGCATGAATTCTAATCTGACTATTCAGACTGAGGTTGCATTGCTGCTGGGGATGTGCACGCCAACTAATTTTGATATTCAAGTATCTGCATTTGAGTTCCTGAATGGATATCTGGTTACCTACAGAGAATTAAGAGAAAAAAGACAAAGCCAAAAATGAAAAAAATAAATTTCAGCTGCAACTAATGCAGAGCTGTGCTTTACCTTTTAGGTGACAGCACTCGTACTGCACCAAAATTTAGCATCACGCACAGGAAAGCATATCAAAACACGTTTTATTATTCAAAAATAGCCGAGGGACATAGGTAGGTAGTAAGACAACGGAGACTCCTCAGAGCTAATCAGCTGAAACTACCGTGTCTTCTATGGGAGTTTTTTTCCTCTTCAGTGGACGATGTGCCAACTTGTCAGTTTGCCAGAGAAATATAGTTGAACTGTTTCTGGACCTTACATTAACATCAGCCGAGTCTATCCATCTCTGCCTTCTGAGTCACGTCCTTAACAACGCATCCCTGGCAGTGCGCTCACGTTCAGGCACTCGCAGTTCAAAGTGTAACATAAGATCTACTCACAAATACGAACTAAACTTTCATGTTTTACAGTTCAGTTAAAGATAAAATCAGCTGTATAATGTTGCTGAATATTTTCTTCATCTTCCTTTGATGAAATATCCAAATAGTGATTTCAATATTGAAATACTGGCACCCAGAAGAGTTAACTGAGTGCTCGGGTACAGATGCACATCCCTAATATCCACATATCAGATACGTATAGGTTCTAGTAACGTGAAATAGGGCCAAATTAGAGTTGAAACTGTCCTATTCAGGGTGTTTTTTACTGTTTACACTGTCACACAAGAAACTAATCACGTCACGTGTCAAATACGAAGAATAAGATTTGGGCCGTTTACATGCAGCGTGAACACAGCCATGTCAAGTGCGAAGAAAATACAAGCTTTTCTACAGCGGTAAGTCAAACAGCGCTGACTTATTCACAGTAGCTGAACACATCACACATCAGACTTTACAGAGAGTAACACAGCAAGCAAATATTTACCTGTTTGGCGCCATCCCAGTGAGCGAAGTGTCCTAACAAAGAGATAAAGAGAGCGAGAAAGAGAAGAAAGAGAGAAAAACAAAGACAAAAACAATGGAGAAAGAGAGAGAAAGAGAGAGGGATTAAATCACAATCCAGTGCTGAACTGTCAGTCCCTTCCTGACTACAACTGGGCCGTGCTTCTCCACAAAGGAGGACGGTAATGCGGTTTCATAACAGCCACACAACATTCACCATCCATCTTCTCTCCTTTTTATTTTTTTGAATGTGGCCTGCACTCAAATGAGTGGAGTTTTGTTGCGTTTATTTGCAAGATAATTACATCATTAGCTTCAGGCAGGGCTCAGGATTATAATTAATACAGAGATTTACAGAGTCTTACATGCTGTACTGAGAGTTCAGGACAGTCTACAGTACTGTAGGTACACAGCAAATCAGTGCAAATTGATGCAACACAATCAAAAACAAATAAAGCAAAACCAGGCAAAATTAGATGTGCGCTGTATGATTAATCCTTTGAGGTTTAGAGTCATGACTCTTATTTTGCTATGCTATTCAAATGTATTTGCATAATTGCATAAGAAACACCAGATAAAATATGTCACAGTTACACAGGTTGCTGCAAAGTTTTAAAAATCCAATTTTTAATACCCTTTTAAGATTTCAGCATAATAAAAATAACACCAACCGCAAAACAATGCACACTCTCAAATATGGCATGTATTAAATATTTACTTTATTCAAATCTATTGGCACATTTACTTTAAGACTGCATGATTCTTACTTGGTCTTTTCAGTGTGTTTGACAGTTAGTTCTGCTGTCCTCTAGTCCTGGATATTCAGATAGGCGGACAATTCTGGATTAGTTTAGTATAAAAGATGACTCTGTTTTTTAGGCATCATCTCACAATTTAATTAGTAATGGCAGAAAACTCTCTCTAGCCCGGTTAGCCACGTTAGGAAGATAGGCGGCTAGTTTAAACAGAGCGGAAACACTAGAGCTGCAGATTTTATCTTTTAAGCTTCCTCTTTAAAACAGTTCAACAGTGTAAGTGCTCCTCACCACTGCAGATTGTGAATAACATCTGTTTATGGCGCCTCAAAACAGCACAAGAACAAGACAAAACAGCACAAGAACAAGACAAAACAGCACAAGAACACAACAAAAGATCGGAGCTGGATCAAGTTTATTTTAGCAGATACCCGATGCATTAAAATATCCCCGAGTTGGACGTCCCTAAATATAATACCTCTAACAGCAAATAAAAAAAAAATAATGAATTTGACATTTCACATTTGACAAGTTTTCAATACTGATTTTAAGACGTTACAGGAACTTTTAAGAACTGTTCCATTCAATGTACATTCTGTACAGATAGGATCAAGTCTGTACTTCTGATTTGTTGTCTTCCGTTGTACCTACAACAATCATTTTTCATCAAATTCAAATCACAATAAAATATTGAGGGCTGGCCTAATAAATCAGATACCCTTTGATTATTTTTTAAACCATAAAACCTGCAACTTTAATGATAATATATTTGTTATTTGTATTGTCGGTTCACAGCATAAAGGGCCTGGGTTCGGTTCCCCGGCCAGGTGACCAGAGTCTTTTCTGTGCGGAGTTTGCATGTTCTCCCCATGTCTGTGTGGGTTTCCTCCCACAGTCCAAAGACATGCAGTCAGGTGTACTGAACATACTAAACTGCCCCTAAGTGTGTGTGTGTAAAGGTCTGTGTGTCTCCCCTTTGATGGACTGGCGACCTGTCCAGGGTGTTTCCTGCCTTCTGCCCAATGACTGCTGCAAAAGGCTCCAGCGACCCAGGAGGATAAGCAGCCTTTAGATAGGACAGTTATTGTTAATATATGAGGAGTTTTTGGGAGTTCCCAAAACGCATTACAGACCACTTTTAAGAATTTTTCTTTTATCGTGATATACGCTGCTGGATGTGACCATTACACATACAAGAAATATCAGTTTTATATTATAATTAATACCGCCTTTATCAGAGAAATAAAAATACATTTTTCATCAGTTGTTATTCTTTTCAAAAACTCCATTATTCTTTATTATATACAAAAGTGTTACAAAGAGATATTTAGCATTTTGGAATGAAACGTTTCATAAGGATATTGTTAAAAATGAATAAACTATAGCTGGTTTTGTTGGATGCATCATAAAATCATGCCATGTCACCTCGTCTCATAGCTCAGCAAACAGCTCCGCTTTCCAAGTAGCTACTGAAGCCAAAAAATCTGTGATGCCTCAGAAATCACATGTGGGAGCAGCTTAAATTATCAGATGATAAGAAAAATGGTCAGTGCAAAATTTGTGAGGTTGCTATACCCTGCTATGAATCATTGTAAATGTAAGTTTAGTGATCCTCATCAGAGTACCGCCATCCAGACCACAGTGCCTCGACTCACAACATCACCATTGCAAGTTTTTACGGTGGCATCAGAGAAAGGTCTCACAGTTAGTACAGTGCAAGAGCTGCTCTGCAACTACCACAACAGGAGGGTCATCACATAGTGAATTACTATTTTAAATTTAGTTTCCAACACTACATACAATGGGAGTGATTAGACTAAACATGGAGTTTTGGCCTCCCTTGCACATAAGTTATAAATGACAGTTTGTAAGTGTGCGTTTTGTTGGACATTAGATACTGAACTATTGATTAAAATGGAATATCTGTTCCATCGCACAGAAAACCAAAAATCCTTCAAATGTGATTGTTTTTAAAGGTGATTCTGAGGACAAATATTTGAGAACTCATTCAGAAACATGTATATAATGTCTTTAAAATGCTGTTCATGCTCTAAAAGTATCTCCTCCTTACAAACAGAAATGTAGTTTGGTTTGAAAGTACAGAACCTGCACTTTCAATAGAACGTCCCCGCTTGTTTCAACAAGCTACAACATAATATTTAATTACAATATGCTTTTGCTATCGGCCACAATAACTGTGGCTTCTAAGGATTAAATAAACAGAGGCAAAGCGGGCGGGTCTCGTTCACCTCAGGTGAGCAAATGCGTCTGATGAGTTTGGGCAGTTATGTGTGATGCAGGAAAGAGAAATGAAAACTCTCGTGGCTGAAATGTCCTCTCTCCTCCCCCAAGGAGAGGGCATACGCCAGTTCAGTGGCACTGAGAGTCCAGGCTGTTTTTTATTTAGAGCAGACCCGAGTTCATGCGAGGACAAGCAGAACTGTGTGGAAACTTTTGTCCTAAAACGTGACCCCACAGAGTACATACAGAGGAGAAGCCAATATGCAACATACGGTCATATGCAACATTACATATTAGAAAATAAGATATACATCCTCTTCAGAGAACACAGTTCTGCACATTTTAATGCAAAAATCACTGTTTATTTGCTGAACATATTGGGGGAAAAAAACAAAACATAAAATGTGGCCTGTGCAAAAATTACAGCACATTTTGGCCCAATCCCATTTTACCCCTTGTCACTACCACTTAGCCCTTAGCATTCATGCCTAGGGGTAGGGTGTCCCGATTCTCATTGGGACTGAGGGGTAGGGCGAAGTGTTAGGGCTACATGGTCCTCCAAGCAGAGGTTTTTCAGAGTTACACTCCAAACGAGAAAAAAAAGAAAACCAGCAAGAAGGCTGTGCAAGCGACCAAAGAAACCCACAAATGTGAGACTTTTCTCCATTAAAAATTTACGATAGCCATTGTCTTATCTTAGTTTAATGTTGTTTCAATGTATTATGATCGTTTTCTTCATAAAAGCATAAAAAATCACTAATAGCATGCTAATGTGTCAGTGGCTAGCTAGCTAAATTTCCTGTTCCACCTTAAATTGTCCAGCAGTTCTGACGGCTGAAGCGCCAGAATGTAACTGCCGCTCCATTTAAGGTGTAATGAGAACACTCAATCAAGAAGCTGGCGAATAGCTGACCTCGGCTTCATATCACCGAAGAATTGGGGGGTGGGTGATAGCAAATAATCCCCTCCCCCTTTGAAGGCATATGATTCCCTAAATGCAACTAAAGCCCAGCAGCGAGAAGCTGAACTTTACTCTCCTCTGCCGTCACTGCAGACTGGCAGGGTCATCTACAGAGCACCGCTAGTAGCCTGTTAATGAAATAATGTTCATCTTTATTTGAGGGTCCCATTTCATAGGGGTAGACTTCAACCACTAATACCCTGTAACTCAGTTCCAAGGGGTAAGGAGACACTCGAAAACAAGAGGTAACAGTAAACACAAGAATGGGCCTTAATAGTTAATCTTCTTTTTTCAAATGTATTACACTCAGCAATTAAATAGAAACTGTGCACTAAAATCAGCAGAAAAAATGTCACATTTAAGTTTAAGTTTTGCATACGACTGTACTTGTCTTCGACTGTGCACGTGTGCAAAATACATTGACAGTGAAATGCTGATCACAGTCTCATAAAAGGCCACGCTGATAAGAAAAAAGAATGCAAAAGCCTCAGAGCAGCTGACAGTGGTTTAAAGCAGGTTAGGGTAATTATGCTGGATGTGTGCAGCTGACATTTGGGGATGCTTCTGTGATTTAATTAAAACCTGTGAAGATTACAAATTAGAGAGCAAACAGAGAAATGCAGAAGCTGGCAATGTTTTTATGAGCGAGCTGAGTACGTTTCAGCCTCTTATTCTCACACCATGACGTGTGGCTCCACCTCACACTGCTCTCTGTATCCTGATCCAAGCACTAGGGGTGAGCAATATGATGACACGTTTGTATTATCATGACAATGTATGTCACAACAGGGATTCTCAGGTAATGCAACCATCCGTGGCCAGGAGTGAGCATAATTGGTCTCACTCTCTCTGGGTAGGTATGATGGTCCTCGTCTCTCTGGGCATCTGTTAGCTGACGTAACAGCATTGGCAGTTAGTGTTCTCCTGCAAGTGTGTCGAGCTGTCCAATGACATCGCAGGTTAAAAAAGATGTACTGTCATTTCACATGTCTCTGAGGAAGCATGTGCTAGCTTGGTAGCATCGTGTGGTAGAGGAGACCTAGTTAGTGTCTGGGAAT